GGAGCCGCAGACGACGGGAAGGGCGCAGGGCCGCACTTCCGGAGGTGGCCCGGACCTCGAGCTCGGCAGGCAGGCTGGTCACGCGTCCCGGATGGTCCTGGGCCGGCCGCGTGCGGGTGCGCCAGAGGCGGCCAGAGGCCCGCCCCCGGGAGGGTGGGACCCCCGCCCACACCAAGCTCCGCCACACCCAGCCAGCTCCCGCATTCTTTCCCCTCGTGTTATTGCGCGTTATTTGCCTTGGGTCTGCACCCCCCCCCCTTTCCAAACCCTACTCCCCTCCCTCGGCCGCCCCTCACGCCCGACCCCATGGGAAAATCTCGTACCATCCACGTGGAATCTACGGCCAATTTCTATGAATCTACGTGATTACGGCGCGGGGTCTTATTCTCAGCTGCCGCAAAGTCTGGTGGGCTCGAGATGACCACCCCGTAGCGTCGTGAGGGGTGCGAGGGAGGACTTCGCGCTCCGTAGACTTCGTTGGACAAAGTCTACAGGGTGTGGGCTGGTGTGGGCTGGGCTCCTACTGGAGTGAGTGGTGAACACCCCACCCCCACCCCTCTACCCACCCCACCCCTTTTGTGTCCCTCCATATCCTTTGTCGTAGTACCCGGTGTCTCTTGCTATGACATTCCACTAATTTGACCATCTTGTGGTTTTGCAGAACTTCCTCCGAGACCTCTTAAAAGAGGCTAAGATTAACGACGTGAGCGAGGACAAGCTGATTGAGTACACGGACACCATGGTGAGACACATTTCCTTTCTTCTGTCTGGCGGTTGATCCAATACTGAGCCCTTGTTATCATCCCGATTGCAGCTGCAGGTTTTCGACGCGAACCACGACGGCCGCCTACAGCTGTCAGAGATGGCAAAGTAAGTCAACCCGTTTGATGGACATTAACATACATCAAAGGAAGTGATAGCAGACAGTTCTAATGCGATTATCATTGCAGGCTGCTCCCAGTGAAAGAGAACTTCCTGTGCAGACAAGTATTCAAGGTGAGTGGCTGTTTCCGCTGTGCAGATGCAATTTCAAATAGAGACGCGTGCTCTCGAACCTCGGAATACACATTATTTGTTCTCTCAATTCCAAGCTCAGTAGAGTCTTCCAAATCAGCACAATAAGGGATAGTCCAGAAAGTACGTCCGTTTTTCTCAGATTCATTTGGCAAATGACGGGTTTTCGGAGCCTGCGAGACTTGGGGTAGGCCACCCCGCAGGAGGCATTGCAGGCAAGATGTTGCCTACCCATCAGGCGCCATGAGGAGCTTGCTTAGGCTAAACTTGACGGGTTCATAACGGAAATGAGGTACTTTCTGGATGATGCCTAAGTTCTCCAAATTCTGTTTCAAAATCATTCTTTCAGTTTGTTTACAGTTCTAAAAGAATGCGCGTGAGCATATGTTTGCGTTCTTTTACCCGCGAAAACGTAACGACGGCTTAATACACTTGGAAAACGTTTCTTTTCATGAAATTATATCACGATCTCTGTTTGACCGAACGGAGTTACAATTTTGCGCATAGGAGGGAGGTCACTGGTGATACCAAACGTATCCAGTGGTGTCGCTCACCTCGTGCTCGTGAAGATTTTGTGACGTTTTCCCCGGGTATCAGTCATAATAATCTCATGTGACTTTGACGTCAAGTTGACGCATTTTGGCCTCCGCACCCTATTTCTTTCAGTACAGTGTGGCCCACGAAACCCAGAACATTTTGCAGTTATACTGTACCGCATGCAGCCGCGGAGCCGTGCACTGGCAGGTCAGGGTGGCTAACCACATGGCGTCGAAAGGCTCGAGCGAGTGCATGCCGTGCAGTGTTACTACAAACTGTTGTCAGCTCTGTGATCCGCCCTGTACAATTTCCTAAAATAATTGTGAAAACAAAACCACAAAAAAGCGCGAGGAAGTTTTCACGCGCACAAAGTGCTATTGGGGCACCAGCTTAGTGTTTTGTATGCTGCTGTGTCTCCTCGACACCCGGGCACCTCTCGCCTTGTTCAATATGGTCTCTCGTTTGTTTTCTGGCCTCTCTCTTGTCCTTTCACACACCGTAGACTTTTGCTTCACCCTCTCCGTCTGGACTGCACTCTCTTCCCTTGACTCCTCTCTTATTACTCTTCTTCCTTCTGTTAACATTGTGTTCAACCCTTCTGCCTTCTGTCTTAATCTGTCTTAATCTTGCTATCTGAGCGCGGCGTGGGCGTCCTACCTACGTACGCCTTGGAGTCTTAAATAAGTTCTCTCTCTGTGTGTGGACTCATAAAGTTTGCCTTCTGTCACTGAACGTCCCTCAGGAGGGAATGGAAGTAAGTAAATTTCCACAAAGCAGCACGATCTCTTTTCAATTTTGTAACGTAAGGATCGTCGCTCCGACAACTCAAACAACTTCATAAATAAATAAGACCAATTACGACCTACGTTATCATTGCCAATTTCTTATTAATTTTCCAAGTTTATTTTTTAAATTGTCTCTATAAGTATTTGTAAAATAAAACACCGAGTTGTCGGAGATTGTCGATCCGTACTGTAGACAATCTGCTTGATCAAGTACTACGCAAAGCTGCTGTTAGCGGTGTTATCGAGAGTGATTTTTGTAAAGTTTATGAAAATCTTCATAGAGAAATTAAAAAAAAAAAAAAAAAAAAAAAAAAAAACATTCATAAACATATCATATTAACATGTAAAGAGCACATTTTCTTAAAATTTTAAATTCTTGTCGTGGACGTTTTAGATTCTACACATATATTCTAAATTACCCAGTAAAAGATGCCGCAAACCTTCTTTTCTTCGCCCTGCTTTGATCCGCCTTTCCTCTACCTATTATACTTTCCGCGCGCTATCTGCACGTTGCTGGCTTTCCTTTACTAGTCGCTGCGCTAAAGAAAAAGGAGTGAAGTGTGTGACTGAACTTAGGAGTGAAGTGTGTGACTGAACTTGTTATCACGCAAGACTCTAATGACAAATATGTTCTCCAGGGTGCGACAAAGCTCACTAAGGATGACATTGAGCGCGTCTTCTCACTGTACGACCGCGTGAGTACATGATGACAGGGCGCCGTGGACGTAGGCAACCCAATCTGCGCCAGCGCCACTTGCCGGGCCTGCCCTTAATTTTGAGTCAAATCAAATTAGCAGTGCGCTTCACTAAAGTCTTAACTTTTGCTGGCAGGATAACAATGGCACAATTGAAAATGAAGAGTTGCGGGGATTCCTCAAAGACCTTCTGGAACTTGTCAAAAAGGTCACCAAGCAAAAAATAATTTGTTTTTCTGGATGGACAAAAATTCTCCAAAGCATAAAAGTTTGGCACTACAATTGTTTTTGTTCTTTTCTGTTATCAGGATTATGATGCAACAGATCTACGAGAATTTGAAGAAACCATCCTACAAGGAGTTGACTACAACAAGGATGGAAAGATTAACAAGAAAGAGCTCACAATGATTTTGCTTGCCCTCGCAAAGCACAATCAGGAAGATTCCTAAACAAACTTCCTGTGCTGTCACACTATTGTAAGAGCATCCATCTTCTTTTGTAAATATTGTCTATGCTAAAACTATATGAATGAGGGAGAGGGAAAGGAAGGCAGGCATTTTGAACTAAAATGAATAAATAAGCAGGTAACTTGAGGGAAGAGGGAAAATGAAACTAGAAAGACAGACAGATAAATTAAGAAAGTTCTCCTACGTATGTAGAAAAAAAAGCTGTTTAAAGCACAACCGGTTTCATGGGAATTAAAAGCCAGTGTGTCAGTAATTACTGGTACTTTGAAAGTAAGTTCTGGACAATATACTAAACAAAATAACAGTTTTGCTTGAAAACAAATACCTGTATTGGTTTCAAATTTGGAAAATATTTCATGATATTAGTTGATCTGTTCACAACAGGGTAATTGAACATTGTTGTTAGTTGTGTAAGAAAAAATTGACAACAGATCAATAAAAAAAAGACCAACAGCATAATCACCCGTAGAATCTGCTTTTCACTCCTTAAGACCTCTCGCATCTCCTCCTTACTCAAACATGAGTATCAGAATAGGAAATTAAATATGTATGTACTCTTGACAACAAAATGAGGTCTGATCTTTCCTTAATTCCAAATAACTCATTTACATCAATCCAAAACCACAATTGCAAATCTATCTATATCCTCCCTCTCTTTCTTTCTGTCTTAATTCTTCCCTTCTCTCTCCTTCCTTTTTGCTGATTTATTACTTTCTATCTTACCATTTGCAGTATATGCTCTTTAAACTCACATTGAGTTGATTCTAAGCACCTGCCTAGTCTAATTATGATACAAAAAAATTAATTATTTTTAATTCTTATCTGCTAAGTGCATTTCAATTTGCAATAAAAGTGATTAAATAATGTTCATTCAGATGATTTATGTGCATAAATGTGTATGTCTTTAATTATTTGTGCAAATAAATTGTAAGTAACTGAGACTCAAGTATTTGTAAGGAAGAAGGGGAGTAAGCAGATGATGGCAAGACTTAAATTTGGCAACAGTTGTGTCATGCCACTCTCTTGTATGTACCACTTTCATGTTACTCCAATAACAGGATTGATAACACAGATGATGATTTCGTAAAAAGGATAATGGTGCAATATTCACTGTCCAGTGCTCCAAAGCCACACTTTTCTGCTCTTTTCAATTGGTTTGTAGATTGCCTCCTCGTAGAGAATTTCCATTTTAATTTTCACTGCTGTCTTGTAGAGGTGACATGCAAAGATTTGTGAAACATGCTGGCCATCCAAATGTTATCAAAGGTGCACTTCAAAATATCTAGCGATGAAAATGGAAAGTGGATGTTCTCCTACAAACTTGTATTTATAGCAGTAGAAACAAGTCTTCCACTCAGAGTTCCATTGGATATCTTCATCTGTCTTTGGTTGTCAAATCTGAAGTTAATGAGCAGTGTAATTATACTAAAGAGGCCTTTCATAAAGAGCTGGAATTGATAAAATGGCCAATATCAGTTCACATATCAAACTAAATAAAAAGCGACATTTCTAGTATGTTACAGTACTTTCTTTAAGAGAATTTAATATCAAGTTTAGTATTTTCTTCATTGTTATGACAGACCCTTTCATTGTTAACAGACTTTTCCATTAATGGGAAAGCTCTTAACAGATTAGAGACAGAAGCCTGAAATAGCACGGCAGATTTGCTTTAAGCCCCACTCCCACCCCAGTGTTCAGAAAAATCTCCGTTATTTTTAGTCCATAATTTGTGTTTTTCTTCAGAACTGTTCCAGTTACATTTTACTCAAAAATCTTCTGATAAGAAAGCCAAAACTGGTGACTACTACTAAGATTAAGTTCGGATAAGTCACCAGTCATTAAAAAATTTAACAATGACCTGGTATCAGAAACCATCATATTATTGCGTGATATCATCTTTAAGTCATCTATTGTCAATTTCATATTGCTAAGTGTCCAAATTTTGATTGTCACCTGGTCACATTGTCATCAAAACAGACTTTATCTTAACCACAGCACATCTCTATATGGTTTACTTGTACAGTTTTCAAGCAATACTACAATTTTTCAGCCATCATAAGAGGGTTTTGTTTTCTCATCTTTTACTCAGGGGTCTCTAAGTATTTCCGTGAATGAACTCTGTGCATCACAACACATTCCATATTATAAATGCTACCGAATTGCTGGTAAAAATGTGTGTGACAATAAACAGAGTTTATTTCCGGCTGTCCGAAAATTTTGCAAATCTATGTAGAGGCTATTTATACAATGTTATACTTGCATGTACCACTTTATCAATCATTATGTAAAATATGACAACAATACATAAAGTTTACAGAATAGTAGTTTCATTTATTTCCAACTCAAATACCAACGTTATTGATCAGATAAACCCAATGAGGTAGCTTATTAAATGAAAAAAAAAAAAATCATACTGTAATTAAAATCAACGCACCAAAATGATACATTATTTAAATCTTAACATGATATCTATAAAACTTTGATAAATTATGTAATAATACAAGTGCTTTCAAATTTCAAATACAAATACATTAAGTTGTATTTATTGCAATGATTGATTATAATTGATATTGTAGGATTGTTAAACATTCCTTAAAAAAACGCAATGAAATTTTTACAGTAAAGGTTCCTTGACAGGGGAAAGTAGAAAATGTTGCAATAAAAAATCACTACTATCACAGATTGCAAACAAACATGTGCACTTGCCAGTACCAGGGTCTCTGCTTATTTTACCCTCACTGGGCTGGACTGAGTTGAGTTCTCTTTCCCCCAAAACATCAGCACAAGGTATTTAGACACTGCAGTTTTGCAGATGTTTGAAGTAGGTACAGTACAGAAATACGCAGAGTATCTTGTTCTTACAAATCATAGAACTTGGGAAGTAACATTTCAGCTACATATCAAGCTACAAATAATTGATCTAATGTTATTGATCTGATCAATCATAAATATATTATTTTTGCAACATTATCAGCAATGCCAGAAAAATTAGAATCACTAACATGGTGTTCTTTAACACGGAAAGATTACAAAGTGTGGGTAGCACTAAATCTTATTAACATGAAGAGCAATTCTCTTTTTTATGATGGCTCACCTTGAATTCGACGATACGAACCACCTGGTACATACGTCAATAAAAATTCTGATACCACTTTATTGAACTCCTCTGGGTAACGTAAATGTATGTTATGTTTCCCAAATGGAAAGTTGTATGTTCTACAAAAAAGAGAAACAAAAAAAACAATGATATTAGTTGTTCAAAGAATTAAATTTATATGGCCTGGGTAGGCTGTATGTGTAAGTACATGAGTACATGAGTACATCTTCTAGTTACTTAGCATTCAATACATAAAATAAAACAAGATAAACTTTTTGCCTTACCTACAATTATGAACTTCACTTAAAATATATTTGGGGTGTTCATTGGACACCATAGGATCCTTATCACCATGAAGCACAAGAAGGGGGCATTGTACTAGCTTCACTTCTCTTTTACAAATATCAGCACTATCTAATTTGTAAATTTTATCAAAAGCATCAACCCAATTTTCCCATGTTGTTTTGAAGTATTCCAGGCCATATAACTCAATTAATGGTGCTTTCATTTTTTCTGACCAGGTATCAATGTCACGCATTTCTAGATAAACAATAATTGACATTCATTACACAGGCAACAATTAAATCCAAACTAGGAACTAAACAAAAAATGCTCCTTATGAGGTTTCATACTTCTGTATAATTTAATTTCTTCATCCGTAATGTAAGCATTTGCACCCCAAACAGCACACTTCTTAATATGCATTGGATATTTTGAAGCTAGAATCATTGCTGTTATCCCACCATCACTCCATCCAAGCATAGAAAATTTTGGTACTTTCAGAGCCTAAGGAATAAAAGCTATTACAAGAAGTAAAGCTAAAAATTTAAAGCGTTCATTAGTTTCAGGAAACACAAACCTTCATAAGCTTTAGTGCAAAATCGGCATCTCTGTGGAGAAACTTGCCAGAAAAGTCCCGATTAGGCGGACGGCTATGACCATATCCAGGAGGATCCCATGCGATGAGTGTGAACTCCTTATCGTCCAACTTTTCCAATTGTGGTTTGAAGTCAGTCCAGGCAGAACCTGAGTATTGTGTAACAATAAGTCAGTTATGCGGGCTTCAATGAAAAGTCAACCAAGTCTAAAATCAGTAAAGGCCACATATATTAGCGAAACTACTCACCCAGCGCACCAGGAAGACACAGTACAGGGTGGGGTCCAGATCCTTTACGAATATAACTAATATCTATCCCTTCAATGTTTTCCTTGCCGCCCTAAGAAAACGCACAAAACAAAGGAGATAAGAATTATAGGTATATGCTGACATCATTATCTATTTACTTCACCGTTCTTATTTCTATGCTTGCTTAGTACCAGTGAAAAGATGAGATAAAAGATCAAATTATGAAACCGTGATACCGACAGCAAATAGATTCAAAATATACCAACCTCCATTCCAGCCAGTACACTGTACTGGACAGCACTTCTGCACTTGAATAGTGAGTTTACACATAACATCAGCGAGTGACCATTTTTCAACACTCTCGTGTGACGAAACTGTACCAGCATTCTTGGATGACAATTGTCAAAAACAACCCAAAGTAGCAAGATAAGCCGGTTAGGTCTGTTTTCAATCCAAACACTCCACTCCACCACTACCCACAGCAGATAGCAGACATACAAACGAAAAACAAAGAAAGTAAAACTGTAATGTGACAAAATAACAAAATTAAAGAATATGTCTTTAAGGGGAGAATAAAATCATTCAAAAATCCTAAATTCACATTTATTTAATTCTTGTTCACTAGTTTTTTTGAGTTTTTTCCGTTTATATCGGATATGAAAATTAGTTTAATAGTTCATAACAACTGCGGAAGTTGGTGGCAGTGGAGTGTATAAACGGACCAGGTTAGGTTATGTTTTGCTACATGATTGTTTTGGTTTTGCTCTAGCATCCGAAATTCCAACATCAAATTTAAACCATTTAAACGGCACCCTGACAACTTGCGTAGGAATCAGAAAACATTTCGAACCTCAATTATCTGTTGAGAGAAACTAAAAATGAGCTACGGAATGGAGGAAAACGATGCTGAACAGCGAAAGTTATACTGCGGAAATTTAGATGAGAAAGTCGACGAAGAAATACTCTTTGAGTTATTTTTACAGGTACGAATGTTGCATCATGTTGAAATACGCACCGTAGCTTCTTGCACGAGTCATAATTTATTAATATTATTAATATTATACTATTTCACCAGAGTAATGTTACGTTGTTATTTGTTTATTGTAGGCGGGCCCACTTGAAAGGATTCACATACCTCGGAGCAGGGATGGAGCCCCAAATCCTGGATATGCGTTTATCTATTTTAAGCATGAAAGTTCTGTTCCGTATGCCATTGATTTGTTTGAAGACACCGCTCTCTTTGGAAAAATACCCAAGCTACGATCAAGAATGGTTTCCAATCATCACAGGAGTCAATCAGCCCCCGTGAACTATGGCCAAAATAATATGAGCCATGATATGGGACACATGGACTTTGATCATCTCCTGCAGATGAGTAGAAACATGCTCAATCCTGGACCCATGGGTCCTCCAATGGGTCATCCAATGGGAATGCCCCCCATGGGGCCAGGTGCCATGGCAGGGGCGTACGCAGGATCGCCCATTTTGATGGGTGCTCCGTACATGCCTCCACCTCCTCGGATGTCCTTTGAACCTCCACCACCTGGAGAAGAGATGCCTGGGAGCAGTTCTGAGATGTCCAATGTGGACAGGAATGCATTATCCCAAAGTAGTTTGCAAGGAAACTGGTCTGCAAGGAATTCCTCCAACATGGTACCTACTGAAGATAACGGAAGGGGGAGAAGGAATAGAAATAGTGATCATGACCACTTCAGAAGAGACTCCCATGGTGGTGAAAGAGGTCATAGAGGAAACTACTATGATCAAGGGGGTGGTAGATATGATAATTATGCTTATCAAGGTGGTAATAGCTACAATCAAGATCACTATTCCAGAAATAGAAACTACGATGATTACAGGGGCGGTAGGAATGAAAGATACGATAATAGAAGTAGATCTCATGATCGTCGGGACAGAAGGGGAAGATATTAATAGGACAGCTCACTTTTATCATTTTTCTAATTTTGTGTTTCATATTGCATAGCTGTCTGGTATTCTTTATTTTTGATCTCCATGTGAATCACAAAGCCTATCCCTGTGAGTCAATTCGTAGTTGCATGTAATTTTTTATTTTGCATGTTTTAAATTATCCTTGATTCATCTCATTTACAGTAAAACATTCCTCTTTAAGTAAAATAGGACTCATCTCTAATTTGTTTCTCAGACTTAAACCTCATTGTGACATTAAAAATTAAATTTATTTGACTTATTTGCATTATTGTTATTCACCCTTTTTTTTAAATCGTTCTTTACCTTCCCGTACTCATACTGCACGGACAACAAGTACTATTTAGAAGCTTTCACTGAAGAAATTGCTATGCATTCCAGTAAACGTATTAGCCGTTTCAGCTCCGTGTGTGAGTGGGGGGGGGGGGGGGGGTCATTGTGGGGAAATTTTGGAACAGATGTCTAAAGAAAAGGGGACCAGCAAAAGAGTGGCAGGAATCGCCGTTTTCTTTACTCTTCTGAAGGATAAAGGATTTGTGGGGCTGTCTGGGTATTCCCGGTAATCCACGAAGTACGACGTCAAACTGGCAACATAGCGTTGTGAAAAACCGCGCCCTAGGTGGCGCCACCAGCGTGCGACTGCAGCGCGCTCTCATCGCGCTTGCGCGCGCGAAACCAACCAGCCAGTAAACAATCGACAGTCGGCAGTTGAGGTTTTCTCCTTTTCGACGTGCTCGGCGAAGGACATCTCAGGGCCGCACCACACACCACACCGACAGCGTGACCGTCTTCAACTTGCCTCGGAGCAATTCCTTTGTATCGGATCTACACCTAAAGTCCGTCTTAGACCCTGGTTGCAGGGAACTGGATGGGTTGAACGCAGTAAGTGTAAATTGAACGGTAGTTGTTTAGTGATGACTCGTGTTTGCTGGTGCTCGGAGGAAAATTCTCGTGGCCGGTAGCCATTAGAAAGTTAGCCTGGCGAAGGAATTTTGTGGCCCAGGACAAATGGCGACGCGGGTTTTAGATCTCCTGATATTTTATCCGTTCGTGCGTTTCCCGAAGTACATATTAAAGCTCAATGAAGCGGCACTCATCCTCTGATTGTTCCTGCACTCCGGTTCGTTTTTTGCTGTCGTGGTGCCGCCTGTCGGTAGCCTCGGGTTGCGCATCGAACCGAACCGGCATATTTTTTGCAGCGGTGGTTGGTGGAAGGTCATGAGGCCCGGGCCTCGTCTGGGAACAGTTAATGCCGCTTTGGTGTGTTAATCGATATCCCTTGCTTCCCAGTTCACTCGATGGGGCTTGTGGCGATAATTCGTCTAGCATATGCCGCCGGTTACGGTGGCATCGGGCCGAACTCGGAGGGGTGGTGGGGCCATGGGGCCCCGCTTTGGTTTTGGCAAGGCGAGGCCGAGCGTTGCCCTGCCGTAACCTTATGGAGGCCCCCCGCTTCGGGCTTGGTTGGGGTTTCATGGCTTGATCGATTGAGGCCCGACGAAATCGGGAGGGTAGTTCTAGGTTCGGCAGCCTCTTCGGCCCTGCGGCGGAAATGTAATTTACATGGCATTCGGTTCTTGTCGTGGGAAGGTGGGTGCCCGCTCGCTCTATTCTTGTTAGCCAATAGGCTAGCATTTTCCGTGTTCTGATTGTTGTTTTTTTAAAATTGCGGTGGCTTTTAAAATTGGTTTTGTTGTCGAGCTTATCGCGCCCTCTCGCTTAGATATCACACTTGGCTTGGCCACCTGGAAGCCTGTTGTGACCCAAATTCCATGTACTGGGAAAATATGGCCTATCTGACTAAGTGATGCCAGTACCTTGAACTTAAGTTTCAGTACGTCAATTTCCTGTTAGCTTTTATAACATCTACAATTCTATCATTTCTTTAATGTTTTCCTCTCCTGGCCTCTTCCCTAACCTACAATTAGGTTGAGGATTCTGTAATCTTTGCAACTTTCACATATTTGTGAAATAGCTGCTCTTAGTTCTCTTCAGAGCTGAGTCTGTTAAGAATATAAGTATTTCTGTGAAGATTTGATTGGAGTTTGTTCTTCAGAATTTCTTTTCTTTTCAGGAGATTTTTCGTTGCCTGCTGTAAGGGGCATGCAGAGTTCAAGATGGTGTCAGAGTTTGTGGATGGCTGGACCATTGCCCAAACGTTGGGTGAAGGAGCTTACGGAGAGTAAGTAGATTTTTCTCCTTTTCTTATAAGTGTGGTTCACTACAGTAACGTTTCTGATGGAATCCGAATTGTGACTTCTCACCATGGTGATATTTGAAAGTGTAATTAGGTGACCTTGGTGTCTCGTACTGTGTTAACGTTTGACCTGTCCATTATGACATTATCACTGATTATTTATTCATGATCATGTATTTTTTAAGATTTGTAGTTAATGTGGTCTTTAACAAATTTTTTTTCTCATTTTCAAAAACATCTTTTCTTTTGTTTAGAGTCAAGCTTCTGTTGAACAATTCTACTGGAGAGGCTGTGGCAATGAAAATCATAGATTTAAAAAAGCATCCAGATGCTCGGTCTAATGTAAAAAAGGAAGTTGCCATTCACAGGCTAGTTTCGAATCCAAATATCATCCAATTCTTTGGACAACGCCGCGAAGGGGACATAGAGTATCTCTTCCTGGAGTATGCTGCTGGTGGTGAACTGTTTGACAGAATTGAACCTGATGTTGGCATGTCACAGTGGGAAGCCCAGAAATATTTCATTGAATTAATATCAGGAGTTGTAAGTATTTTCAATTTGATGTTGCTCAGTGAAGAGTTCCAGGGTTAGTTGACCTGATATTTGTCATTGTCCCTTAGGAATACCTTCACAGTCATGGAGTTGCTCATAGAGATTTGAAACCTGAAAATTTACTCTTAGACGAACATCTCACCCTGAAAATTTCCGATTTTGGAATGGCAACCATATTTAGAATGGGTGGAAAGGTAATTTTTGTGAAGTTTTAGTGTGGCTTGAGATGCACTATCTTTGCTACCTCTTTATCATGTTACAAACTGGTGTAATGCAGGGTGCTGGCGCTGTTGTAGGAGCGCTGTCTAGAAAAGCGGTGTGGAACCCTTCCTTATGTCGCACCTGAGGTGCTTGTGCGTGCATATCATGCGGAGCCTGCAGATATTTGGTCATGCGGAGTTATCTTGGTAGCCATGCTTGCTGGTGGTAAGTTCAATGTTATTTCTTTTAATTGCATGTTTTTACCTTGCTTGTCCTTATTCTTTAAAGCATGCTAGTTTATGACTTGATCTAAAATTATATTGCAACTTTAACTTTAGGGTTCCCACATCTCTGGAAAGTCAAAGGAATGAAATATGATCAGGGAAAGTCACAGAACTTGAAGTATGTGACAAATTCAAGTAGTGCTTAAATTTGGGATGTTCTTTTCAGCCTTTTTTATGTCCTATCCATCCCCAATATTTTATTCATTATGGAAAGTCAGGAAAATACTCAATTTGGTTTGGAATATCTTGGAAAATGCCAGAAAGTAAATTGTGGGAACCCTGAACTTTATTCCGTGCATGATCTTTCCAACAAACTTGCCATAAATGTTGCCAGACTAAACCATCTGATTGTGCAGTAGACTTCTTTGAATTTTGTGTTATAGTAGAAATGTAATAAATTTGTTTAGTATTTTTTGTTGTTTTTGTGTGACATTTATTTAGAATCACTGATTTAGCTACCCTTCATGAGGCTGTTCAAAATGCAACGCCCCTCTCTTTGGTATCCTAGCTGAAGGTGTGTGTATTTTGTATCCTAAAGCTACCGTACCAAAGTCAGGGTTGTTGCTGATCCCCATGCTGTGCTTGTAGCCGTGAGGTGAGCACCCAGCACGATTGCCTGAGCACTGACATCCTGTCAGCATGGTTTGTTTTCACATGTAGTCTTATGCCTTTGTCTTGGTTTGCCGTTTTTGGCTCAGATGGCCCAAATTTTAAGATCTAGTTATAAGCTGAAAGGTTGATGTGTCATCTGTTTTTGTTGCAGAATTGCCTTGGGATCAGCCTACTGTGGATTGTCCAGAGTATCTTGCCTGGAAGGATGGAAAGAGTATGGTCACCCCCTGGTCCAAACTGGATAATATGATTCTCTCTTTGGTACGCAAAATCTTAGTTCCCCTACCGTCTGGAAGATACACCATTCAGCGCATCAAGAATCACCGTTGGTTCCAGAAACGACTGCAAAAGTCTCTCGGTAATTTTCTGCATTTTTGCATTTCTTTTTTTATAACACTAAGAAATGATTCTTGTCATGGATCATGCTGTTGAACACAGCACTTCTATGCTGTGTCTTCCAGTGTTGAGAATGGAGGTCTTTTGTCTAGTTTGGTTTTTCCTGGAATTTCATCTTTACCTTTCTGTCCTATTCTGGGTCAGGTACTAAGTGACTCTGAGGTGTGATTGGCTCTCAGATAGCTCAGTGCCTGCCCTGGAGTGTGGCATACTCATCGTTGGATCTTCACCGGTTAAGTAAAATAGTACTGCCATTTGGTAATATGTGATGTGGGGGACACAACATGTTTCTGATTGTTACATTTAGTGTAGATAGAGGCCTAAAGACCCACTTGTCCACCTCGCAGGAGTTATGGCTCTCTTGTTGCTCCTGTTGCTTCTTTGGTGATTTGGCGGTATGTAATAATTGAAAGGCCATAAAGCTAGATTACCAAAGCAGGGACAGCAGAGCCCCTCCTGGCCCTCCTTCTAGGAGCAACGAGTAATGTGACAACGTAGCGTCCTAGAGATTAGCTGTTGTCCTATCTTTGGTGATCTAGCTGTATGAGAGTTTAAATCATAGAGCGAGAATACCAAAGTTAGGAAAATGGTATCTGCTTCCGTAGTGGCCTTTTTTGACTTGATCCTTTCAAACAACAAAAAGTAAAAACGACTTTGCTCCTGTATGCATTCTGCGGTAAGACCATTGGTTTTATCTATCCCCTTCTTTCCAGTGTCTACAAATGACAGTTGCCGAAGTGGAACACCCAAGCGCCTGTGTTCTGGGAGTGATCTTTCACCTCCATTTGGCACAGAAGACACGAGGTTATGTCAGTCTCAACCTGATCCTCACTTTGGTAATGGTAATGCATTGCCTAGTGAGCATCCAGTAACAGATTTAGATGTGGAGAGACCAGGCTTCTCTTTCTCCCAACCTGCCCAAATTGATGATTTGTTACTTTCCTCACAACTCAACCCAACCCAGCACACTCAAAGTAGTTCTGGTAGTCAGGTCAGTATTTTCATAGTGATTTTAATGCTTTACGCTTCATTTTCATGGTAATTAATTTTCCAACGCGGTATCTTTTCAGAATGTGTTCCAGAGGTTAGTTCGGCGAATGACCCGCTTCTTTGTACTTCCTAATTTAGAGGAATCTGAAAAACTCTTGTGTTGTGTCCTTGAAAAACTTGGAGCATCATGGAAAGTGCACACACCAGGAATTGTAAGTCTCATGCTCCATGACAGTAGTACATATGCTCTTGCTGCTATATTGTGTCAGAATACTAATTAATGATATTTGCAGCTTACCATCACTACTGTTGATCGGCGCAAGATGCAACTTATTTTCAAATCCAGTATTATTGACATGGATGGCAAGACATTATTAGACTTCAGGCTGTCCAAAGGTTGTGGATTGGAGTTCAAGAAGATTTTCTTGAAGATCCGATCTGCTCTGGGAGATTCGGTTTTAAAGGGACCAGTCTTGTGGCCAATAGCAATAGCTACAAATAGTGTACCATGAAGTAAATTGTGGAAATTTATTTTTTATAATGAATCAAAATAGAAATTTCAAAATTCAACTTCATATTGTAAACTGTGATTTTTAGTCTCTTGTATTGTAAACGCTGGAATTATATGTAAAGTTGATCATCAGACCTTTGATTACTTTATACTAAAGTTTGTTTGTTTTATGATCAGTGTGTACCTGAAACAACTTTTTATACTGAGTGATCAAACATTTTTGATGTTTTATTTTAAGAAAATTTTAGACTTTATTTGCTTTGTCTGTGATCTAGGCGTCAACGCTTAGATTTAACTGTTAAGTGCATCACTCGTCGTGATTAATGACTGTAATGTTTGTAACCTAATTTAAAATGAACTGCTAGCCTCTTTTGTATTTTTGCACTAAAATAAACTGATTTTTATGTATTTTGAGTTCTACATTGTCAATAACCCAAAGTCTGAGTTAAAAAAAATAATCAGCACTTCTGTCCTGAAAATTTTACTAACATGTCTCGTATACAAGTGAACTTATCTTGTCTGCTTAATTTGCTAACCTAAACAATTTAGTTTGTATTAGGTCTATTGATGAAATTGCTTTGCCATAATGAGTTTTTACCAGTTCTCTTGCTTGCAAGGGGGTTAAGAATGAACTGACAAATGGCATTACTCTTGGAGAATAAGTTGTCCAAGGTATGCAAGCTTAAACTACCAGTTTTGTCACATTGAGGTTTGAAGTTACCTCTAGTTAATCCAAACAGTGCTATGATTGTCTACAGGAGTTTGGTCCCGTCCAAAGAACAGCACAGTTACCCGTAATGAAAATTAGCCAATTGTGCCATTTCAGTAGTATGTCTTCAGACCAGTAGCTCATTAAAATTGATACCCTGGAAGATGAATGACTAATACGTATGTTCCAATTTAGTGAGGTGGCCACAAAAACTTCCATTAAATGTGAGACAAATAAGCAGGATAAAGGAATATGATCCGAATGCTTTAATTTGACTTCAAGGGTGCGTGTCAACAAAATAATGGAATAGGGCAGGTAACTCAAAATCTCAAGTCAAATAAATTGGGAAATGTTTATTGTCAAAGTAAGAGAAAGATCAGGAATAAAATGAATGAAATAGTGATGAATATTGAATTAATACTCCTGGGATTGAGACTTGCTGGATTTTCCACTCTTGCCAGCATCACCAGTCTTCTTGGGGAGAAGAACAGCCTGAATATTGGGCAGGACACCACCCTGGGCAATTGTCACACCTGACAATAACTTGTTCAATTCTTCGTCGTTCCTGATGGCAAGTTGAAGATGCCTGGGAATAATCCTGGAACAAATTACGTTAATTGATAAAGAGTTGCGAATACCAAAAATCCAATAACACCAAACCAAAATTTTCAATCATACCTAGACTTCTTGTTGTCCCTGGCAGCATTTCCAGCCAACTCAAGAACTTCAGCAGCAAGATACTCCATCACGGCAGCAAGATAGACTGGAGCACCAGCACCCACTCGCTCAGCATAGTTTCCTTTGCGCAACAGTCTGTGAATACGACCAACTGGGAATTGCAGCCCAGCTCTGTTGGAACGGGACTTTGCCTTGGTCTTGACCTTGCCTGAGGGGAAAAAAATCAACATTTAATATGGTTGTAGGAGCAAAAGCAAAAGCATATTGTTGAAGTAACACTACTTTGGTTAACTGACAAACATCCTGCCAATACAGCGAGATGTAATAGTGTCGCATGTGAAGAGAATTTAAATTAGCAGAATAAAACCAAGTCGAGGAAATAATTGAATCCAAAGACTTGGTACAAAATTACCTACATCCCGATTCAAGAACGCGCATTAAGGTTAGGTCAAATGGGCCAATAACGAACAGGATAATTATTGGAGAAGATGACTGTTTCAAGATTCGATTCTGCTATATACGTGTGAGTAAGTAGTTCGGTAGTCAAGAAACTGAGCGATGAGTATATGGTGAAACCGTGGACTAAGACTAGGCCACTACATTTAGGGTAAAATTTGCGAAGAGTCTGAGCCTAGAAATACCAGTTCAATAGCCGAAATGGAGCGGAGAAACCTAAACTGTAACAAAAGTTCATTATCTAATAAAGCAACTTACCTCCTTTTCCACGGCCAGACATGATGAGATTGGGAAAGATTGACGGACTAACAAAGAATGGAATGGACGCACAAACGTCTTTGTCGACGGCTACCGGGCAACTGACAATGGGGTCCTTGCTTTGCAACCGCCAAGCCAACAACCCGCCAAAACGCCGGCGATTACAGTGTTGCCAAGTTGAATGATGGCGGTGGCGAGCCGCGAGCCGGCAGATGGGACTATGATGGATGGGGACGCTAGTTAATTTAGCACTTTGCGTTGCTTCATTTACAAAAAACAAAAGGTTCGACTAGTGAAACTAAAAGAGCACGACAGAGGCATGCGAAGGAAGCTTCTTTCGTGGTCAAAAGTTATTCTCTCATCTCTACCCAACTTCTCGTAGCCGGAAACAGAAGGAGAACGAGAACGACGGGAACCGGAACTAAAAGAATATATGGTATTATATTCTCATACTCCACAAACAGGACAAGACTACCACCATTACAACATAAAGATAGACTGGGAAAGCTGTCTCTGTTTACTTTGTAATTTTTCTGCTGAAAGTCATTATTATTACTCTTAGTTCTGTTTGCGTCACTATGATAACTGTCCAGATTTCAAAAGACGGGAAACCTCTCATTTGGAGTGCTGAGGGTAATTTTCATGTTTTGAATTTATTTATAATTTACCAATTTATTTATAATTATAAGTCTAATGAAGAAAAGCATGTTGTCCAGTTACAGTTTTTCTCTATGTTTTTGTAGAATGGATCAGATTACGTGAAGAGTATCGTATTGTTGGTGGATTAATTGGTGTTTTGCCAAACCTTCCCAATCAAGAAGTGTTAAATGGGTTGCCCATGAGTCTTCTCCCAGAAGAAACGACGTTGCTCTTAGAGAAAAATATTATTTGCCTTAAAACATTCCCTTCTCTGTCTCGGTGCCCTGGTGAAGGAGTAGTAAAAGCATTTAAACACCATTGCCGGTCTGTTCAAGTCGAGCAGGTAAGGTATTCTTTTATTTCTCTTCTTTTAGAAACTAAGAGCTTGCATTTTTCTTGCTGACCCTTTTGAACAATGATTTCTTTACTTGCAGGCTGATCAGATGAAAGAAGAGCGTAAGTCAGCATTACTGGGCCTTGTGGACAAAATAGTAGAAGGAAGACGACGAAAACGTCTTGGCTTAGATACAAAAAAGAAAAGAAAAAAGGGTAAATCAGCTGAAAACACAGACAATGATGCAGAAGAGAAAGAGAAGATAGTTGAATTACTCAAACCCATTGAAGAAATAGAGCGCAAAACTGTGCTAGATGAAGAACTTGCCAAGATTCCTCCATTGTCAAGAGAAAACACTCTTGTTCAAACTTTCACAAGTCAGTAAATATTAAGTACAAAACAAGATTTCTAGTGGAAAGCTATTCAAGCCGTTAAGCTTACCGTATTTGTGTTTTTTTTTAAATAATAAATTTATGTGGTAATTTCAGCTTATCCTTGGTTGTCTCCTGAAGATGCATGTCCTGTCAATTGGACATTCCCTTCAAATGAGGAGGAAAGAACTAGGTATCTAACTTTCAAAGATTTATGGACAAAAGGTTTCTACATAACAACAGGCCACAAATTTGGAGGAGATTTTCTAGTATACCCAGGTAATTGCCCATATACCAAATTTATTCAATTCTAAACAGCACTCTTCTAATTTTTAAAGCAGAAAGTTGTGGGGCTACTTAGATTGAGTACCTATGGGTCTTATGGGAGCATTTCCAGAGACTTACCTGTAAAATTTGGAGTGGGGATAAGAATTGAATAAATATGGTTATCATTACTTGAATTATGATTGTACAACATTTAATTGACTTGTGTTTTTGCACAGGTGATCCTGTCAAGTTTCACTCTCACTTCATAGTGGTTTGTGTTTCTTATACTAACAGCATGTCTGTCCATCAGTTGATTTCCTATGGCAGATTGGGATCCTCTGTAAGAAAGACTGTTGTACTTGCATCATTGCCTCAAGATTCATCTGAAGTGAAGTTTCAGTCCATTAAATGGGCTGGTTCTTCTGCTGTACCTTTTAGTTAAAGAGATTGCTGACTGTCTCTGTTCTGTTTTTAAGGCTTTGTTCAGTTTATGATCATGGTACATGGACCATGGTACAAGATTAGGTAATACATATGTTAAATTAAAGTTTTATTTATAGAGGAAAATTATTTTATTTTCATGTCAAGCAACATACACACTACTCCTCTTATGTGAAGTAAAGGAAGAAACAAAAATATATATTAGGAAAAGAAAATCAGTTCCCAGGATTTAAGTGCTGCGGTGTAGCTGTTTTAAAATGAAAAACCTAATGATTGCTGACATAGGGAGCCTTTGACAATCATATCTTCCGTCATTGTTACACAAGTGACAAAGATCCATCAAGAATTGGTCATATTGTAGTACAATGACATAAGTGTCTGTTCGTCACCAAGACGTGGGTTGTCACTGTATTACAAATTGATCAATTCTTGATGAATCTCTGTTACTTGGGAAATCTAACAGCAATAATAATATTCCAGTGGACTGAGCACAATAACAACAAGGTGTTCACTTTCTTCCAGAATCATCACATTTGGTTCCTTCTTCAAATACAACACTACAAATAAAATTACTGAATTGGAATTTCCCATTCAGAAAAATTAGATAATTAAGGTTCCTCAGGTCTACAATCGGTCTATTCAAAGTCTTGTAGTTTTGACATTTTTGACTGGGTTTACACCACCTTTAATATGAAAACTGCAAAATTTTAATCAGAACTGGACTAACTATACTATTGACACTCTTGAACATGACATGGATGAAATGAAACCAATTCTCAATAACTATTTGACTTTAGTGCTGAAATGACCTATACAATGAAATGTTAAAATGATTGTGGTTAAAAAAACACCTCAACATTAAGCACATCTAAGAATGATCTGTGGAATTGAATACAATATGCTTTTCATCTATAACCAGCACTCATACAAAAATAATGTGTTAGCTATGTTGATGCTCTGAACCAATTAATCATGCACCCTAAAAGTTAAGTTTGTGCCACTTGGCACACTCAAACACATGTATTGTGGGTACATGTTAAATTTTACAAAGTAACACTTTAAAACGTCATTATACAATTCTTTGTCTGAGCGTCAAATATTTCAGATACATTGAACTTTCCCACAAGAAGCTTTTTGATGAGTTGAAACTTATTGAGTTGAATGAGTTAATGAGTTGAAACTACTTTTATGGCTTTGCAGTCCTCAAGAAATTAAGATAGAAATCATGTACAGATAGACAATTGGTAATGATTCCCAACATTAGACCCCCTACAATTTTGAGCATGTTGTTTTTCTATTCCTCGGCTTTGGCAATGAAACAACACTGAATAGCATTTCTACACAACTACTACAACAGTAGCTGCTTCAAATCAAATGTTAGTTCTAGATGATTGTTAGTGGGAAAATGTGCCTAGCAAAACACAAGGTATACTAACAAAATACCTATGTACCCTTATACCTCAATAATTCAAGGAAACTCATTTGTAACTTCCATGGCCATCGAGCATAAATATGTATATATAGAAATATATAAATATTTATATGCAAGTATTTAAGTAGGTATTTACATAAATTTTCAAACAAGGAAAATAAACCAAATATACAGCAGAAATCTAGATGCTACATTACACATATGATTGGCACCAGAAAATCTTATACTGGAAAGTGTTAATAAGAAACTGAATTTCTACATGTTTCTGAAAGTAAACCTTCAGTCCTGTTTCAGTTTTCAGAAATGCTTGCTGTGCAAATTATAAAAATAAACAAAACAAGAGGTGATTGCTGGGCAAACCACTCAAAAATTTCTGTTTTTTGTCCTGAAGTTCAACTAAAATCATCATATTTTTCCCCACCTTCCATCCCCGTCAATAATAGTATAAAGTGGCCTTCTCTCAGCTACAAGTAGCAAGGGAGACCATCTCCATGACAGACTGATAGAAATTCATAATTGACAACCATTTCCACTTTGAGGGCCCAGAAGTTACTTCCTCTTGAACTGTAGGCTCCTGATGATGACATCAGTTATTGTCACTGGTCAAAATTAGTCCTCTTGACTGTCAGAAATGATGTCAGGAGAGCATCATATGACATTCCATGTGATGTCATTTCTGACAGTCAAGAGAACTAAATTTTGACCGGTGATGTCATCTAATATAATTGTGACCAATTTCTGTCCTACAAGTCAGTGCTACTCACAAAACTGCAACTTATTTAGATGACATCTCAAGACATTGTTGGTTGCAAACAACTAAAGATAGAGTGAACTGGATCTATATTCAAGAGGCTTCTCTAAGATATTAGGCAAACTACATTGAACCTAGTAAAAATAGACATAAAAAATTCTGGTCCCATGACAGGGATTGTGACCAACAGAGGCGAAATTAGCATACTTTTGAACAAAAAACAGAAAAACTACCATCTTACATGAAAGGCTTGGTGCTAAAATGTATCCCAAACTAAAATTTAAATTTTAGTGCTTAAGTATGGAATTATATTACGAAGTGGCTTGATACATTAAAGATAGAATCAGTCCTCTGCAATCTCTTGTAAAGAGTATAGGCAGACCCATTCTACAGTTGCCAAGTCTGATACACAAAAAGCATAGAACACAGAATTACATAAAATAAAAGGTTTGGCAAAAGATTTCTACAATGTTATTGCAAACAGCATAAGACTTGAGTCATTGGCGGATAGGCACAAGAAAGAGTTAAGGCCAACATAATATTCAGCTATCTCATGGGTCAACCCCAACAGTGAAAAATGTCAGTCTAAGAATGTCTTAAAAGTATTTTGTAAATGTCCTACCTAAATTACATCTTTGTGGGGCTAGAAACAATAATAAAAGGCTTTCTACAAAAGAAGTCATTTAGCTGAGCCTAACTTCCAGCATATGATCTATTATTGAGTTGGTGATGTAGAGATAGATATTGTTTTACTAATCTAAACTTACTGCCAAGTTAAGCAGTGTTTGGGGATGCCAGAGTCACAAACAGAAACAGACTCAATGAATGCTTACGTACCCTGTAAAAGGAAGACAGGGCGGGAAAAAAGGAAAATTGCACCAGGCACAAACTTTCCATTGCAAAGTGCCGTATGATAGCTGAAGCTGATGGAAGAGGGAGCCATGGCTTAAAATTAAATAAATTAAATTTGTTCCAAAGCAAATGACTTCAATACAAGCATTAAATGTTTGGAGCCTTGCCGTAATATAGTGTTTAAAATAAAATGAACTCTATCTACAAGAGTATCAAGAATTACTAACTCAGAATTTAATTTAAAATTAAACTTACTAAGGTTCATAGTATTTCAAAATATTTTCCCTGTTTTTACTCCTCTTTAATTCTTTCCTTTCAGAGAAGGAGTGCAGTATAATCAGAATTACAATACTTTTGTGCACACATCTCGCACTACAAAAGCATATCCGATACAGACAAGCAGACAGGACACTTCAACATAGATCCAAGCATTGAACCGATTTAATAATTCATAAAATCCTTAAAATAAAAATTCATTAAGTATTCATAATAAAATTGAGGGAACAAAGTGGGACGTGTATGTCAGCTTTGGAATTTTTAAAAAAATAAATGAACTAATGTTTAAGATGTAACAGGAATGGTATCTTGAATTGGTAACATACCTGCATTTAAAATATGATGGAATGTGTTCAGTGTGCATATTACGGCTAAAGATTTGATGGCCATGCCCAAGAAAACTAATGAAACATGAGAAATAAATTACGTGTGCTCATGTATATGTTAGAAAAATGAGCCAGAAAGCAAATTAGTATGACACCTTTGGGAAATGAACTGATATTAAGGATATAACAACAGTTTGTTAATTACTGACAATTAGCACGCAGTAGATTAGGGACTAAAAATTGCCAAAAACCATACCATGAGAAAATAAAAGCACAAAAATAGAATTTTTTTAAAAAGGAAACAACAAAATGAATAAATATGTGAATTGAGCCAGTAATTATGTTATTTAATGTACATAAATATTTAACTCTTTATTTACAACCCATTTTATTGCTTGCTAGAGCAAAGGTCCATACTTGATAATAATATCTATATTTACATTTACAACAAATGTATAAAGAGCAGGGCTTCCTATTTAAATTGACATTGGCAAGAACAAGTAAAGGCAACAACTGACTCTCAAACATATTCTCGCCCAAACTTCAGTATCTGAAACCGTACTCATTAAACGTTCACTCAATAATATTTACAGCATAATTTGAACTTCTGATACAAACAATAGTACGGTAGGTAGGCCACAAAACATCACAATGAGAAAAAGCCGGAGTATCAACATAATTCAAATGTACAACAAAACCAACACATAAAATTGATGAAGTTAAAATTACAACAATCTCAACTACAAGCCCAGAACATGAAGGCTGAAGAGAATGTTAGGGTTCGTGTGTTTTTATCCAGACATACCTTCATATTTACAAATATAAAGCTACTGGTTCTGCCAATTTTTGTTAAAAAACAGGAAAGACTGACTTGCTTGTTTGAACTAGAATGCCAACTGTCCTCCCAGCTGTGGAAAAAGTAGTACAAAACCAACCCAACAAACAACACTCATCCTGACAATCCTGCATACTAAAACATGCAATCCATCACACCTGCCAAGCTTGAACTTAAAGACAAAATCTCATTGAGTGTCTAACGGACGATAGCATTTTCAGTCTTGGACCACTGGCAGCTAAGAGAAAGGACTGACCTCACCTCATAGTTTATGGTTTGATGTGAGCCACGTCAGTCCTTCATATAGTCCATCACCTGTTGTGGCACAGGAGGGCTGAACATACCAATTGCGGTCTCTTATACGTGTTAGCCCAAGTTTCTCCTGAATTTCATGGGGTTTCATAGCTGTTTAAACATAGGAATTTTTGATCAGAATCAATAAAGTGTGACATAAACAAAATTTACGGAGTGGAATAAGTGAAAGACTTACCATCCGGGAGATCTTGCTTATTTGCAAAAATAAGAATGATAGCATCCCTCATTTCTCTATCATTGATAATACGATGTAATTCCTGACGAGCTTCATCAATACGATCTCGATCAGCACAATCCACAACAAATATCAAACCTTGAGTTCCTGTGTAGTAGTGTCGCCAAAGTGGTCTAATTTTGTCTTGCCCTCCCACATCCTGAAAATTAAATGATTGTATAAAACAAATGTTATTGAGAATGAATTGAAAGAGTCCAACAAACTAAGTATCTCATACTGACCCAAACATTAAATTTAACATTTTTATAAGTAACTGTTTCTACATTGAAGCCCACGGTGGGAATTGTTGTAACTGACTGCCCAAGTTTCATTTTGTACAGAATAGCTGCAAAATAATTAAGGAAACAACAAGAAGAGATATGAAAGTGAAGATACAAACTGAACTAATTACATTCCAAATTAGGAATACAAGAGAAGCTGCGAAAAATAAAGGATACTTGTTTTTCCTGCTGCATCTAGGCCTAACATTAATATTCGCATTTCCTTGTTGCCAAAAATTTTGGACAGAATTTTGCCCATCCTGTCCGACTAGGCCTCCGTACAGTTTCTTCACTGAAAATTTAAAAACAGCATTCATTAGTCCATTAAAAGCCAAAAAATTATAAACAAACAAAAACCAAGCTCATGCTTCACATTTTCATGACTTAGAATCTCAAGAGCCTGCTGCTCATTTCCAGCCTTATCAGCACTACACTCATGCTAACAAGTTAAGTGAGGTGGGGGAAGAATTGAAGCTGGGAGGGGGATAAACCAGAAGCAAGGACATTGGAAGGTTGATAAAGGAGGTAATGAGGAGTGCAAACAAACTCAAAAAGGGGCAAGGAGAGCATGGGAATTCATTGTTTTGGATGAAGTCTCCACTATTTTATTTATAGGGGGTGTACTCTTTTAATCTGAAAAACAATGTGGGAAAATTAAAAAGAACTACAATACAGATGCTAATAAATTAGAGAAAATTTATCCAATGTTGACTGCAGAGGTCTAGCTGATAACAGGGAATGTAACAATTTTAAAAATAATGTGCCCATGACATTAGAGAAGGCACAAAGAACAAGGAAATATAAATAAAAAGCAGTCATATAACTAAAAAGCAGGTAGGAAAGATGAAACAATGAATAACCAGAGTATTTGTCATATCCAATCATACAATGTTTCTTTCTCCTTTTTTTGACATGTGTCAAGTCGACCGGGTGATTGGAGGTTAGGATGAATTTTACAAAGATTTCCTGCCTTCGTTCTTGCATCGAAAAACAAGCTGCCTTCGCAACACAGCGACAGCATTACAAGGATACTAAGACATATTCCGTCCCAAACTAGAATAGTTTCGTAACGTGGCTAGTATGCGAGAATCACAACAAACCACTCCCCTCAAATCAACTATGTATCCTAATGTACGAGCGGTTACCTTTAAAAAGATTCGATGTGGACCAAGTGGCACACTAAATCATGGAATTTGACACGAGATACTTGTGTTTCAAAAGATTGGAATGAACAGAAAAAGACATTTTCAAAAGAAAACACTCTAAAACTGGAAGATTGATTAGTTAGTTAGGCTTAGCCGTGGCGACCCATGGCGGTTAGGGTCACATAACGGGTTTTCGTGAGTAGTCGCGTCAGAAGTGGGACGATTATAATAGAATTTAAAGCTTGTCAGAACAAAACGTTCTGAGACTAACCCACGCCCTTACCAGTAAACATTTACAAACTCTTCATTCATTAAAAATAAGAGACGTCTGCCACAAATATCATCGTAGTGGCAAAACTTTGCAGACCGTACCGCACTCTGTGGGCAGAAATCTTACGCTTGCGTTTGAATCAACGGAAAGCACGGTCCATTGGGTTCTAACGAGGGAACGGTGAAAACCATTTCAAAAACCCCCAAACTTTTGGAATTTTGAAAAAATTACCCCTATTGATCGGCCTCTTCTCAACCTAACGATGCGAAAAAATGTTTCACCGACTCGTGAGTCTAAACGTTCAATAAAAATGCGATATGAAGAATCAAGAACTCCATGGTGTTTTGTTTTTGTTGTTTGTTGCTCTTTGTGTTTATTTCCCCCTTTGAAAAGCTTTCTGCTGTGTGGAAGCGGTAAAGTCACTATTTCAGATTTGATTTTCCTCGCGCCTCACAGACTGATTTCTGGTTTTAGAAGTATCATAAGTACCACAATAAATCTGTTCAAGAAATCTAGTAGCATTTTATTGATTCATTCGTTTCTGAGAAGTCAGTTTGACATAAGTTTAGATTCCGATGATATGGCAGCACTGCAACTCCCCACCCTCCCAAAATTCAGTCGGATCATCCTGTACTATGTTTACACCGCGGGGGCTAGCCCGTGCTATGTCGGTGGTGGGGGAAGTTGGCACCGGCGTAAACGGCGCGTGGCCAGCGGAGGCTAGCCGCTCGCTAGCACGCGCTAGCCTGCCCCCCTCCACCGCTCTGCTTGGTCTAGCCCCGGAGTAAACGCGTTTCGCCCGGGCTATCTCCGGCTGGACTTTTAAAATACCCGATATTTGTGTATTGCACTTGGCATTTCGGTGTGGCTTTCGTACCCCAACAGGAAATAATTCCCCTATTCGACCCAGAGCTTCAATTCTCACTATCCTCTTCAATATACCTTGATATATTTAAGATACTGTAAATATTTCAAAAATTGTTGCTATCACGTATATCCTAAAGATAAATGATGTGAGTAGTAAAGAGTTAAATATTTTACACCCGCTGATTTGCAGACCGTGTACCGGGAGAAGTATTTTACCCTAAAATACTTGGTTTGATCGTCGAGATTTGAAAACCGCGCTCTTTTTCATCAGCTGGCCCACACGGGGTAAACGCACCGCCGCCAGCCCGAGCTAGCGCTGGCCCGGGCCAGCGTTCTACGGCGTAAACATAGTACTGCCTTTCGGCGATGGTGGAGAAAGCATAGTTGACGCCATCTTGCAGTGAAATTTTCCTATCGGCCACGTTTTGCTCTAGATTATTCCGTACGAAATGTTTAGGAAACTTCTTTTGCCTGTCGGTGTTGCCCTCAAAAATACTTTTTGCGAACGGGCAGTTTCCAATGTCGTCGGTTGTTCCCTGAAGTCGGGGGTTAGGGTCATAACGTTGAGTCCCACCTCAACGGGTTTGCACACATCCTCGTCTCTACGTCTTGGGAGAAAAGACAGGAAAGCTGACGGTAGATATGTGCCGAAAGAAATGACTGCCACAGGCGAACGCTCTTCTATTTTGGAATCCCGGACTCCCAGGTGAGTTATAGCCGACCGAATTTGCCTGTTTCCCTGCTAGGTAGCGACCTCCTTTGTTGCTTCGTCCTTTCCTAGAGAAGTCTGCCACGAAGTCTGCCACGCTGCATGCTTTGCCTCCTTTTTTGAAGTAATTTCTTCTGCATTGTCTGCGATTTCCTATCAGTATCCTGTGTCTACCCAGCCAGCCCTAGGGATACTCTATCTCTTTGAATTCACATTGTACTTATTTTTCCCTTGCTGTTGGCTTTGTCCTTGAGATGCCCTACCTGTCCTATAAGACATTTTATTCTGAAATTGGCCTGGTCATCCTCGGCTGCAAGGCATGCCTCAGTACCATTTTTCATCTGGCTAGTTGTTAGTCTATTGGTTTCTCTGAAGTCCCCTACCACAATTGAAGATCTTTTGCAATCGACCTTGTTCTTCGTGTTCTATTCCATTCCTCCTCAAGTCATGTACGAAAACCTTTTTGTATTGTTCTATCCGTCTCGTGGTATTTCATGTGGAACCACCATTTGAGGATCCATAGGTCATGCCGACAGTTTTGAATCCAAATATCTCTCACTCTCAGAGGTATAGTCTTTATACAGTGTCATATTATCAACAATTTTTGTCATTTCTTGGTTTGGTGTTTATGGTATTGTACTATCTGGGGCTCTTCGTGTTTATATTTAATTATCTAAGCAACAGATATAAGGGATCCACTTTTCACAAGAACATTTGCTGTTCGTACGTGTTACTATGAATGGTTGTAGGGTATCTATTAATAGGGCTCATCTTGTGTTTCGCAACACACTGTTTCCATTGAACTTTCAATCCATTACAGTTAAACTAATATGTTTCTTGTTAATACTCATTTTTAAGAGAAAGAAATTTTTTTCAAATTGACTCCAGTTTTGTTGCGTGTATTGAAGGAATAGGGAAAATGTATACATCATTGTCTTTTAGTTTATGTTGGTGTATTACTACTTCGTCTTCAAGAAGGGACTTAATCATCTTCCTGATTTGTTCTCCTCAAACCTTTGCTAGATTTTTATCTTCTGCACACACATCAAATGATGCATTTAAAAATATTTTTCATTATATTAAAAAAAAAATTCTTTGTTTTTCTTGTTTTAACAGGATTGATGATAGATTTCCTGATCTAAATTTACCAACTAAGGTCTTCAATGGAGTTATGTTCAAAGATTTGCCAATTCTCAATGTGAAAGCTACAATGAACAATACTATCATGACTGTTACTGATCCTAATGGTGAGTCTGTTTTGCTTTCTATCTCAAAAGTGTACATGGGTTTATCTGCATCTAATATTTTATTAAATTGTTCTGTTTTCTTTTTAATTCCTATTTTAGGTGCTTGTAACCTAATAAGGTCATGTGGCTATGATGGGTTTAAGAATGCCCGAAAGGGTACAAATGTTGCAGCTCAAGCAACTGCCTTCACACTTGGAAAGGTTTGTTTCGCATATATATTATCTAGCTTTCATAGTGTCACTATGAGCTTGTACTTACAATAGTAGCAATCCCACACCGAGTTCTTATTTTCACTTTTCAATTTTACAGAAAATGGCACAGAGAGGTTTCAAAACCGTTCGAGCAAGAGTGCAAGGACTAGGGCCTGGTAGATTGGTAAGTGTCACTCTATGAAATGTTCCTATCATTATTCCCCTGAAACTGCTCCATATCTTAATACTTTTCATGCCCTTTGTATTTTTCAGGCGTCACTTAAAGGCTTAACTTTAGCTGGTATTGAAATAGTCTCCATTACTGACAACACCCCAGTTTCATGGAATCCCCCAAGAGCTCGCAAGCGGAGAAGGTTGTGAAAGGTTCTTCGTTATTTCTTTATCTGTAAATGTGATTGTATTATTGTGAACGGATTAAGCATTAAGTCAAATACTGCACCTTTTGATGTCATCTGTCAACACTCCAAGCAACACCGGTAAGTTTTCACAAAAGCACTGAGAAAAAGGGAAGACCTCTGATTCTCTTTAAAGGAACCCACTCAATATTGGTGGATTAGCAAATTCTGGAATTATGTGCCATTTTACGGTGTCCAAAGAATAATGCCTCAGTTACTGTTCTTTTGCTTTATTATTATTATTCTCTATGAACCAATTGAGCTCATTAATAAATGGGAGATGAGATGAAGTTTCAGTTAAATCAGATAAAAGTAAGTGTAGGGAAGGTGTCATGAACACCTGTACTTTTTCAATTTAAACTTCACCCTCATTTTTATATTTCTTGGACTATGTCTTGAAGTTTTTGAAAAGAGAACAAAGATTTCAGTTTTGATGTTTTGCTGTATTGTTCCTGTCATGCAATCAGAAGTTTTTCAAGTGTTTGTCAAATACCTAGTCAAATAGTAAATAAGCTTGCTCTTGAAGCTAAATAAATCAGAATCTTGAAAACTTTTGAATTTTTATTGATGATCCCTTTAAGTTTATATTACTTCAAAAAAGTATCTTACAAAATTGATTGCAAATTAGTGAAATTTGAGGTAGTTCTGAGCATTTTACATAGTTCAATGCTATTGGGTATTCTTTCAGACCTTTCTTAGTTTTAAAGAAGGGAAACTGTCATTGCACACTGTAGAAGTAATTGTTACATATTCCAATGATGGTAATTCCAAATTGTTGCATCAATTATTCCAGTTTGCTTTAAAGGAGAGTGTTGCTCTTCCATTGAAATGAATTCTTCATCTCCATCCAATACAAATGTTGCAAATTTATTAACATAATTTATGTTTTAGGGATCATTATTAATGTGTGTTTGGAATATTTTCTGACAGTTTGTGTGACAAAGGTATGGAGACAAATGAGCATGTCTTAGTAAATAAGCAGTATTTTTTTCTATTCCTGTATTCTCTCTTTTTTAAAAAAACATCTCATTGTTATGCCTTTAAGTCTTTTTTAAAAATTTCAAACTGTTAAACTTTGAGCAAGTATTGCATTTATTAGATGTGATTGCTGCTTGTTGAAAGGTTTCCCTCTGTGAAGTTGATATAAGTAAGTGCAATTGTCCTTTTTGTACTGTGGTGAAACTTACATATTGTTGTATGAGAGGTTGCTGAAGCAAAGAGGGCGATATTGGTCAGCTCTCAGTCATCTAAAGACTGATTGGTTTGGTCAATCAACTGTGATATTTTAGTGTACCTGATACTCTTAGAAGTTAATGGCACGCACTGTTAACTCATGTTCTTACATATAAATAAAAATTGACATGTTATTTACATGTGTTTCTTGAATTTTCATGGAAGTTAGCACTTCAAGGGCTTGGTAGCTTTACATTGTAGGATACCAAACGGACTGAAATTCTACTAACTCTTTCTGTGTTGAGGGCACTACTACATCGTGGTAATGTTGCTTGTTGAAGTTTGAATTTCGCGCTGGCGTAGCGGTGTTGCCGGTTTTACTACGACCTTTAGATGCCCCATACAACGTTGCTACGTCGCATTGTGACGAAGTGACCAGGCAAAAATGCAGTGTAGCTAAAATTGTGACGAATACTTTTATTACGTCGAGATTGCCGTTCTCCTTTTATTTGCCAGTGGCGTACATTTTGCTAAATACTGATATGTCGGGCAATGTATTTGAGCGGCTCGAGTCATGCGTTCGTATCACGTCACGTCACGGCGCGCGGGGAATGCTGGGAGTTTCGTAGAGGAGAATCCATTCGGCCAAGATGGCGGACGTGGTGGAGTAGCGATGTGCCTCTCGTCGGACTTACCCTAATTTCGTGTTGCAATCCCAATATAACAAGTTCCTGATCGGTGCACCACATTCCTGAAGTGTCAAATATGTAATTTAATGATTGCAAAAGTGTGTGCTCTCCTTACAATTTTGGATTTAGAACAGCCTTGTGGGTTACCCGTTGTCCACGAGAAGCTCTTCCCAAAATGGCAGCAAGCGCCCCGCGTTCAGTGAAAGTGTGAAATTTAGGGCCGAACTTTTGTGTACATTGTCAGTTTCATAAACACTGGGACAATATTTATATTTCTCCCGCCTCATGGCTGTTAAGTTTTGATTACCGAAGGCGATTTTAACTCATACAGTCAATTTTTGGGAGGAAAATATCTGGAACAATGCATCAGGTAAGGTTGTTGGTCTAACTATTTAAATTTTTCCTTAAAATTATCCCTTTTATTTAGAACTTTTAATTTTATGTAGTTCTCGTGAGGGTTAATGACTCTAATCTTTTGACCTTCCGAATGTGAGGTGTGTCCGAACCAACTGACGCCTTCCATTTTTCAATAGTATAGGTTAGGTTGTTTATATGTTTTTACGTTTGTTTTCTTTCTATTACGCATCAAATATCGTCCAGTTTACGTTCTTGCACGTCTTTGATTGTTTTCCACCATCGCCTGATCCTTAGCTACACAAGAGTCAACCGGGCTCTAATCTTACTTTATCACCTGTATCAGCTCCTTCTAATATCTTTAACTTTGTTTACATTTTTTGAATTCGAAGGGAATATGCATTATAATGAGTGTTCCACCTATATTTTAGCTTCCTTGTGTAGAGCATATCTTAACCTTCTCAATGACGCTCATATTTTGTCTTTTGAAGACGGACCCATTTTTGTTATTTTACTGAGAAGGTTGGCGTCTCATTCAACTCATGAGGTTTTATCTTTGTGCCATTCCATCTGGTAATGATACCCTGCTGTTACTACATTACTTTCATTGGGAGTTTTGTTATGGCCTCTTTTCCTTCCTCCTTGCACTTTGTCGTTTTTTGAGGTGATTCCTTTAACTGACATCCTTTTCTGCCTGCATTTGGGTGCCTTTTCTATGAGGTATAACTTTTCTGTTAATTTCAGTTATCTTAACGATACCAGGTCCCAAATCACTGCGCTGTGTCAGTTTTTATTACGTGCTATATTGATCATTCTTATTTTTAGAGCTTGGTCTCTTATTGCTGGATTAGAAATAGTTCCTTTGCGCCTCCTTTATCGAAAACCTTTATACTTAAAACGTTCATTGTATCTGATTCCTCCCTCAGTTTCTAATAAGTCCAGCACCTTGTGTCAATTCAGGACTGCATGAGGAACTAATAACAAGTAGTCAAAGCGTGCATGTGAATCACGTTGTACGCGTTGTGAACATAGCGGTGCAATCTACCAAGCCCTTCAACGATCAATTTCCCTCTTCTCCATAGCCACTCAAACATTACTGTTAGTCACATAAGATACAAACTACACATCCACTTAACATGTACCACAATTGTTGCCCTGGAGTTTAAGTGTAGCAGAAAGAACCTGAGTTTCATGAAGAGCTGTTGATAAACTGTAACCTTCATTCCCTTAATCTTGGTCTCTTCCAATTCTACAAATGAGTCTCTACAATTACTTGTTCAGAATGCATTAATTTCACTGTTTTAGTATCTTTTGAGGACTACACAATTCTTGCCATATCAAGGCTTTATGCCCAACCATAAGTAAAAACATACCTTTTTAATTTGATAGGTCCTATCAGCAGAAGGCTCAGAATCCGCCTCTGATTCTGAGAAAAATTCATCAGGTTCGGACAATGAATCTAACTCATCTTCAGCAGCCTCAGGGTCAGACAGGTATGTATCTCATTGCTTTTGTTTGCAAGATGTTTCCATCTTTCAGTTAAGTCAGCATCTCCATCTTGTGCTGTTTGTCCAAGATTTGGGAACCAAGAGAATTAACTTCTTAATAAAGTCTCAGACTCTAATTTCAAGTCTGAGCTGTTTCCTTTTTTTTTTTTTTTCTCAAAAAAATTAAGCCTGAAGAAAATTAACTGTGTTAGATTTTTCTTGGAACAATCTAAACTTTGACAAAAATGTATTTTGAAGTTTTTGGTCAAACAATGGGCACATTTAAGTCTAAATGAAGCAATTTGATAGCAATTTTAAACTTAATTCTTATTTGTCTTCAGTAAAACTGTTGTAAAAACATTGTTTTTAAGCACCACTATCGACCAAAAGACTTATGTTGAAGCCAGACAATTATTGATCCTTTAGTTTTTATGTTGTTTTTTTTTTTTCAACTTTGCCCTTTTTTCTATTGTTTTAAAATAGCATAGTCTCTTGATTAGGTTTTATTCTTGGCAGTTAACTTTTTTCATTACAATCTATCTCTGGTAAATAAGCATTGCACCTCAAGAACTTCCATAACTTGCCGATGTTATATCCTGTTTTCTGTGGCACTATGAATCCTCTTATTAGCATAACCCTTTGGACAAGTATCTTTTTTTTGTTGAATCATTTTTGATGTCCTTGGTACATATGGTCAAGGTCAATATAGGCAATTAACTTGAAACCTTAGCTTTTACCACTTACCAAGTATGAAGACCACAAGGAACATGTCAGATGACAGTAATCTCTCTTTGGGAGATATTTTATCATCTCAGGGATTATGCTGTAGCAAATGAATGTTATTTATCCTATAGTGGTACCATAACCTCATGTCATAAATTTTCTAAATTGAGTCTTAGTACCGACACATACTAGTAATATCATTTGAGGCTGAGTTCTTACAGTACAAGTCTACGTATAATAGTTGATTGCCCAGCCTTTACTTCATTTTACCCATTCTTACGTTAGGAAATACCTTGAATGAGATTTGTTAGCGTGTGTTCTTGTGTTACCACTTTTGTTTGATAACATCATTACAAGATATACCACATTGACTTTTATAAACGGTACTAATCTGCTCTAATACTCATTATTTATTCTGATTTTTTCTTTAAATTTCCCTTTTCTTTAGCGATTCTGGATCGAGCTCCTCATCTAAATCAGCTTCAGGCAGTGGATCGGATTCTGAGGGCAGTCATTCTAAGTCACGTTCATCCATAGCAAAGATTTCTCCTGATAAATCTTCACCGGATAAGTCAACTCCAGAGAAAAGTCGACCTAACTCAAGGTCTAGGGACAGGACTGGTTTAAAACAGGTAAAGAAGAATCGGGATAGATCTTCATCACAGACGACAGCAGAGGTAGGAGTCCTTGAAAGATGGAAGTGCCACAACCTCTTGCTCAATTGATTGTTTTGGAATGGATCATTCTAATTATAAGAAGCTGTAAAAAGACTCTGTTTCCCTGAGGCACAGACTTTCTGCTTAATTAATTATAATTTTACCTCATAACACAATCTAGCTTCCTAGACTAGCTTTATATCATGGTGGATGTGAATTAATTATGTGGTGGTCCATTCTCAAATCAATAATCACACTAAATGAGGGGAGCACTTTGAAGCTTGTATGGGAGTGTGTGTGTGTGCACTTATCCGCTTGGACTTTTGCTCTTCTGCTGTCTTTCCTTGCTATGATGATCTGTTTGTTTACTGTAACACCATTTTTGTACATATTTCATACCTATCCTTCTTAAAGTCGCGGTACGGGAATGTTGAGGACAATGTTGCCGCAGCTGCTCACACTGATTTACAACAACACAATCTCTTGATAAAGTGCTGCTCCTACAGCATAGCATATGTTACGTTTAAAGTCGACTACGTGGTTAATGTTGTCTTCAAGCGCCCAGACTCAGCAGAGACCTGCTAAAGTCAACTAGCCGGTGGACGACGGCTAAAGTTGATGTGGTGGGTAGAGTGGTGATATGGCACCTCGTCAGGGAAGTCACCATGGTTCTTTGAGGCACCCCTACCTCTTTCTCTCTCTTCAATTTATGATGCCCCCGCAATTAACGTATTACGATGTAACACGCAGCAAACGTCACCAAATGTTATCAGTGGTAGCCCCTGCATTTGAGTTCTCAGGGCGGGCCACCATCTCCTCTCAGCTGCCTGGCGAGTAGGTCTACCCAGCACATTGCCTTCGTCTCAGAAAATGTCCACTGTGAGGGAACCTTCAGATTTTGAAAGGACAGATGGTATGTCGTACAGGCTAGTCCTTCACTGACGGAGGCGTGCGGCAAGACAGCGCCAACGCTTCTCCCCTTTTCCCTTACAAGCCACCAAATCACCATTCTATCCACCATATCAACATCAGCTGCTGCCCTCCCAGAGTTGGCTTAAGGCGGTCCTTGCCAAATCCGGACGGTTGATGTCAACATTTGCCGGCTACTATCACAATTCACCAATTCATTTCGCCCCTCGGACTACTTTAGCTACAGACCTAATCCTTAACACACATATTTGGAAATTTTAATCTTACTATTCCTGAATAAAGTATTTGTGATGATCAATATTAAATGTTTAATACTTTTTTGGAAATTTTTGTAGTTTACAAGAGATTTGAATTTCTGAACCTTCATACTTGCACATGTTCACAGATTTTCACCAGAATGGCTGTTTGAGTCACGCTCATTAGATTTTCACCTATAATAAAAGAAAAGAATGGGAAGGCAGAATAATCAGCCTCTCTCTCATAATGTTTGCATGCTTTGTTACCGTAAAAGCTTGAGAGACTTGTCTGTGCAATTAACTGCTTTTGGTGCCTTTATTTCATCCTGCAAAAACAAACTTGTGTTTGCATGTGCAATCTCAAATATTGAACTGTCAGACATTTCAAGCTGAAGTTGTACAACTTCTCCATATTCTAATGATTTAAATGATCTAATGATCTAAACAAATAAACATTTTAAAAAACGACAATTAAAATTTTGGGTTGTGCAGACTTCTGTTAAACAAGTATTTTAATATGGTCTTTCCGTAAAATTTTCAGTGCTGGGAGGAGAATCCTGAGGTTTATGGCATCAGACGCTCAGGGCGGTCTAGGAAGGAGCCAGAACGCTTACGAACAGTTGAAAGTGACTCAGGGGAAAAGATCAGGTCAAAACGGAGTTCTAGACAGTCATCCAGAAAGTTCGTTCTATTTTATCTACAATTCATGAAACTTCAAAACTTTGTTATGCTTGTATTAATGTTGTTCCCCTTACAGTCAATGGAACTCTGATTCAGGATCAGAATCAGAGGAATCTTATGATGAGCGGCCTCCCCCTAGCAAATCAGTCCAACGAAACCGGACTATCCCATCACGTCGCCCCATCGCTAAATCACATGCTGGTGGGTCCCGGTCGTCAGCTAGAAAAGATGATCAAAAGAATCGACGAAGAGGAAGTGATTCCTCGGATGAATCTAGTTTGGATAGTGAAAATGGAGCTACAAACAGGTATATATAACTTTTCATTGTAATTTTATTTACATTTCAAAATTGGTAAAGAAAGTATTCACTATAATAATGCTGTGCAATGCTTACTAGGTGTCAGCTTTTCTATTGGTTTCTTGTTGGTTTCTTCCTCTGATGTGCTGCTTTCATTTGTATGCTGCTGTAGCTACATTCATTTATTATCTCATACTTTTATTTCTTTGCTTAACACACCTATGGATGTTGGACATAGCTTTGCCTTTGGGTTTTTACTTGCTCACCAATTCGACCCATCTGTGCTATGTTTTGACTTTCAGTGCAATTACCCTCACATGTTTTAACTCTCAAAGTTTTAATTTTCTTGAATTTATTTTTTTTAACATTTTAGTTTTGACTTTTCTTAAAGGAGATTTGGTAAATTATATTTGCGTATAGTTCTCAGCACCAGTTTGGTTATTTCAAAATGTTCTAGTTGCACTGTATTATTGTTCTGCAATGCTCTCTGCCTGATGCTGCTTATATTTCTGCTCGCTTTTGCACATGAACTAACCTGTGAGATTGGTAGGTTGTATTCCAACGCCTACTATTATGATGACCCATACAGACAAACTTCGCTTCGGACCAATCGTTCTGTCACTTACAAGGAAGCAAGTGATGATGAGACTGGCTCTGAAGATTTGGTTGAGCTTGATGAAGAGGAGGCGGCAGCTGCTGCAGCTGCTGCAGCAGAACCAGATAACTCTGAAACCATTGAGAAAGTTTTGGCAGCCCGAAGAGGCAAACGTGGAGGTAAGTCAATTTCTCTGTTCATTTTTAGGTATCAGATTTTATATACATATCACCTTCTTGTTGCTCATGCTCATGCTTATGCAATTTGTCCCTATTCATATTGCAGCGGTTGGAAATATAACTACTATGTACGCTGTGGAAACTAATGGAGATCCTAATGAAGGTTCTGATCCTAATGATTTTGAAAATACAGAATTGCAATATTTAATCAAATGGAAGAATTGGTCTCACATACACAACACATGGGAATCTGAGTTTTCACTCAAAGAGAACAAGGTACTGTAAAAATCACAAAGAATGGTGCAAATGCCTATGCGCCCTTAAATGTGTGTACAATGTTGATGTAATTCTTACTCTTTCAGGTTAAGGGTCTGAAAAAGCTTGAAAATTTTGTGAAGAAAGAAGAAGAAATCAATCTATGGCGGTCTCATTCAAATCCAGAGGACTTAGAATACTATGACTGTCAATTGGAGTTGTCCCAGGACTTGTTGAAAAGTTACACCAAAGTTGAACGTATTATAGGTAAGAGAGCCCCAATTTGTTTTATCATAGTTTTGGACATGTCAAAATAACTCATTGTAATTAACTTTCTTATCTGTAGCTGAGACGACAAAAACATCTAATGCCCAGGTTGATTACTATGTAAAATGGGAAAACTTGCCATACAGTGAGGCCACATGGGAAGATGGTATACTCATTAATGGCAGGTGGCCGGAAAAAGTTAAAGAATATAGAGAAAGAGAAGACTCACGCCAGTGTCCATCTAAATTGTCTAGGGTTCTCAAGAGTCGGCCTAAGTTTGTAAAAATTGAAAAGCAACCTTCCTATTTTGGTGGTGAGAAGGATTTGGTTCTGAGGGACTACCAAATGGATGGTCTTAACTGGTTGGTGGGCTCCTGGACCAAAAACAATTCTGTGATTCTAGCTGATGAGATGGGACTTGGGAAAACAATTCAAGTAAGCTATCAACACTTTAATGGTTTCAGCAATGCTACTATTCAGGAGAATCATGTACTTATTTTGTGCTTTTCTTTTGCAGACCATCTGCACTTTGTATTACTTGTTCATGGAGTATCAGCTGTATGGCCCTTTTTTATTGGTTGTACCCCTATCAACCATGACATCTTGGCAACGAGAGTTTGCCCTGTGGGCTCCTAAAATAAATGTTGTCACTTATCTTGGTGATGTCATTTCTAGAAATATTGTAAGTTTCTTAAAAGGACCTTGATTTGCTTATTTTTGGTTACATGTAAGGTTTTACTCGTGACCCTCATGTTTGCAGATCAGGGATTACGAGTGGTTTCATGCTGGTTCTAAACGACTGAAACCGAATGCTGTACTTACAACATATGAAATAGTTCTGAAAGACAAAGTCTTCCTTGGAAGTCAAAGTTGGGCAGCATTGATGGTTGATGAAGCTCATCGCCTGAAGAATGATGATTCTTTATTATACAAAGCACTCAAAGACTTCCAAACCAATCATCGCCTCTTAATCACAGGAACTCCTCTTCAAAACAGTTTGAAAGAATTATGGGCCCTCTTGCACTTCATTATGCCTCATAAATTTGAGACTTGGGAAGCCTTTGAGCGTGACCATGAAGATAGTGCCAAGAAAGGTTATGCAAAACTTCACAAACAGCTGGAGCCTTACATCATCAGAAGAGTGAAGAAAGATGTGGAGAAGTCATTGCCAGCAAAGGTTAGTTGATTGTCTTTTTTTTTTTTCCCCCCTTTTTTCAATTTAGTTGAAGCTTTTCTACTTGACAAACAATATTATCAACCTGTTTTCTTTCATATGTCAGGTTGAACAAATTCTCAGAGTTGAAATGACTTCAGTACAAAAACAGTATTACAAATGGATTTTAACCAAAAATTACAATGCTCTTCGCAAGGGAGTGAAAGGATCTTCCACTACCTTTCTGAATATTGTTATTGAGTTAAAGAAGTGTTGCAACCATGCATCACTTACAAAACCCCCAGATCCAGCAGAAATTCAATACAAACCCCCTGCTGAGCATATCAAGGTATGTCGTTGAAGTATTCCTTATTCCCAACTGTTTTTTTATATTATAGATCTTAATATAGCTTCTTATTTCAGGAATTGGTCAAAGGATCCGGTAAACTAGTATTACTAGACAAGCTTCTTGTACGGTTAAGAGAAACAGGCCATAGAGTCCTTATTTTCTCCCAGATGGTCAGGATGTTAGATATATTAGCAGAGTATCTACAACTGAGACATTTCCCATTCCAAAGGCTGGATGGAAGTATTAAGGGTGAACTGCGTAAGCAAGCATTGGACCACTTCAATGCAGATGGCTCTCAGGACTTTTGTTTTCTGCTATCTACCAGAGCTGGTGGCTTAGGCATTAATCTAGCTACTGCAGATACTGTCATCATTTTTGATTCTGACTGGAACCCTCAAAACGATCTCCAAGCTCAAGCAAGAGCCCATCGAATTGGCCAAAAAAATCAAGTCAATATCTACCGTCTTGTGACCAGATCATCAGTAGAGGAAGATATTGTAGAGAGAGCTAAGGAAAAGATGGTACTTGATCATCTCGTCATTCAAAGAATGGACACCACTGGTAGAACTGTGCTTGATAAAAAGTCAGCCTCATCATCAACGCCTTTCAATAAAGATGAGTTAACCGCTATTCTTAAATTTGGTGCTGAGAAATTGTTTGAGAAAGAAGAAGATGCTGATGATGAAGACGAACCAACTTGTGACATAGATGAAATTTTGCGGCGTGCTGAGACTCGTGATGAGGCACCAACAATGGCTGGTGATGAACTTTTGTCTGCATTCAAAGTGGCTACCTTTGCCATTGATGAAGATGAAGGCCCTGAAAATCTTCCAAAGACAGAAGAGGATGAAGAAAGTAAAGATTGGGATGACATTATTCCTGAAACATTTCGTAGAAAGGTTGAAGAGGAAGAGAAAGCTAAGGAGATGGAAGATCTGTACCTGCCACCTCGAAGCCGCAAAACACTCCAACAAATTAACCAGTCTGACACAGAAGGTAAGTTGATTAGTTTGCAAATTTGATCTCTACCCTCTAAGTTGTGTTTTCTTGTGTGATAAAGAGGTTACCTTGCTCTAACAATCCCCCCTACAACAATGGCATTGATGGTAGGGAGACAAGGTATTTGCTTTGTTGGTTCCTCTGTCTCTGAAAATGAATTCATGTGGTTTTAAAAGTAAGCTAAATTATTTATTTGGAACACTTTAAATTTGCATACTGGTATCTATATGATAATGTTAGGTGACAAATTTGTTCTAATTTCACATAATTCAGTGTAATTGATCATGCTCACCACATCCTTGATCAAAGCTTGGCTTAAAAACTGATTGCAAAATATTTCTGACATTTTAATTTATCTTTATTTTATTTATTTTATTTACATTTATATTTTTTGGTCTTTTTGTCTATCTAAGAAGGTAGTGGCAGAGGACGAAAACGACGGAAGGGAGGTGAGGAATCGGGTTCTAGTGAGGAGGAGAGCGATGAGGAACGCCCAAAGAAAAGAGGGCGGCCATCAAGAAGAGAAATTAAAGGATTCAATGATGCCGAGGTAAGTACTAATGCCTATCCTCACACACATCCTTGTAGTTTTCCTTCTTGAATTACATGTGTCACTTTTCCCTGAAACAGATACGGCGTTTTGTTAAAAGTTACAAAAAGTTCTCTGCGCCCATGAAACGTTTGGAAGCTATAGCTGAAGATGCAGAACTCACTGATAAGTCTCAAAGTGATTTACGCAAGCTTGCAGAACTTTTAAGAGAGAGATGTTTGCAAGCAGTATCAGAGAACCAAGAAAATCAAGCAGGGGAAGAGAATACAGGTGTGATTTCTTTAATCTCTATCATTTTGTGAAGCTTATTATGAAACTCTACCTGAAAGTATGAAACTCTATACTTAACCTTAATCTGTTTAGGTTCCAAGCAGAAGGGCCGTGTTTCCCTTAAAATTGCTAATGTTGCTGTCAATGCCAAGGCTGTTCTGGCATGTGAAGAAGAGATGGCTTCTTTAGATGAAATGATACCTAATGAACCACAAGAAAGAACAAAATGGATGATCGATTTTAAGTATGTTTCTCCAGCGTGCGACTCTCCTTTTCTACCGAGGAGCTTCTTATTCATTCATGATATTTTACATTCCAGGACCAAAGCTGCTAATTTTGACTGTGATTGGGGTGCAGAAGAAGACTCTGCTCTTTTAAAAGGAATATATCAGTACGGTATGGGATCATGGGAAGCTATAAAGATGGATCCAACCTTAGGACTTGGCGATAAAATTTTGATGAATCAGGAAAAGAAACCTCAAGGAAAGCATCTTCAAACTCGTTCTGACTATTTATTGAGGCTTCTTCGCAAATATAGTGACCAGAAGAAAGGGGTGGTAAGTTTTTTATTGTGCTGAGCACACATCTAGAGTCTGAAATAGTGTTCCAAGCATGGTTTCCTCTCAAATTTGTATTGTGTCATTTGTGAACTATAAACTAATCTTATCTGTTAATATCTAATTTCAGCCAAAACCAAAACGACAAAGAAAAGCTGCTGTCAAAGCACTGACCAAAGAAATTGTTGATGATGATTCATCTGGAGAGGACAATACAAATATGTCTGGCACAGCCAGCCTTAACTCGTCCAGCACACAGAAGAGAGCTTCAAAAAAGAACTCGGATGGAAAGAAATCAGATGATGACGATGATATGAAAGATACAAAGGATGACTTAAAGGATATTAAAGAGAAGGTTGAGAAAAAGAAGAAAGGGAAAGAAGCTAAAGAGAAAAAGGAAAGGAAAAAGAAAAAGAAGCAAGAGGGTCCTATGCATTTTACAGCCAACAGTGAGCCTGTCTCTCTTGACCTACTGGGTAATCTCGATCCAGCCATTTTTAGTGAGGTATGTGTGAACAAACACAAATTATCACAAATTTCCAATATTACTCTCTTATTTACAAACATTGACTTAATATTTTCCTCATTTTGTCTTTGCAGTGTAAGGAAAAAATGAGACCAGTCAAAAAATCTCTGATGGCCTTAGACAATCCAGATACAACATTATCTGAGCATGAACAGCTGAAGAAAACTCGGCAGTGCTTAATGCTTATTGGAGATAATATCAATAAGTGTCTAAATGAACTCAAAGACCCTGAAAAGGTTAAAGCGTGGAGGAACTACCTGTGGTACTTCGTTTCCAAATTCACTGAATTTGACGCCAAAAAGCTGTTTAAATTTTATTGTAAGTATGCTGAGAAGAAAAATCACCATGATGAGAAAAAGGATAAAAAGAAAGAAAAAGATGAAAAAGAAAAGAAAGTGGAGAAAGACATTAAAAAAGAACCGAAAGAAGAAAAGACGCCAGGGAGCAAAAGACCTCATGATGAAGATTCACAGTCTGTTCCAGCAAAAAAGACATTAGATGGCGAAGGAAGGTAATGTCAAAATCAAGTTTTTATTTGCAACATTGCAACGTATTGAGACCTCAAATATTTGCTGTAACATATATAACGCTGAAGACACTTGTCTCATATTATATTAATTATCATTGGCTACCTGTATTTTACTCAAAATGAGATTTCTGCTGTTTTGCCTAGGGATAAGGAAGAAAAAAAGGAAAAAGATAAGGAGAAAAAGAAGAAAGACAAAGATAGAGAACGTGATAGAGACCGAGAGCGTCCTTCATCTCGTGGTCCTTCTACTCCTCAGAGATCGGGTCAGGTTGGAGAAAACCCACATCCCGGAAATAGGGCGCCTAACGAAGGTTCCAATGACCGCTGGAATTCGAGTGGCAGTCAGAGAGAGAGGTAACTCAACTTATTTAAAGTTCCACAGTAGATGTATGGGGATGGATGTCTGTCAAGTCTATGTACTGCTCTTACCTTCCTGGTGAGTTCTTTAGAAATTTACTTTGGTTGTTTTGCACCTAGATTCAGTGGTGAGCACAAGCGGGATAGGTTCGACAACTACTCTCGTGGTTCTGCACAACAAGGCTACCACAGGGATAGAGAGCGTGACCGGGATCGTGACAGGGACCGTGATCGCAGAGATAGAGACCGAGATCGAGACCGAAGTCGAGATTTCAACCGGGATCGAGATCGAGACCAGAGGAGGTCGGTTCAGAACTTAATTCGGAATTACTGTTTTGCATTTGTGCGTGAGTTTTATTGTTATTTTCATTTGGCATACAGGTTCCATCACACACCCCACATGCCTTATGGCGCGCATTATGGTCCTTCCTCTACCGCCCCCGGTTATGGGCATGCTCCGGGAATGTATCCTCAGCAAGACATGTATGGGCGGGACTCAGGGCGGTACCCTGGTGCACCAGTAAATGCTGCTGGAGGAGGACCAGATTGGCAATCAAGGCCTGGGAAAGACCGAGAATATAGTAGAGACTTTGACAGAAGACCTCCGCCTAACCCCTCGTAGTGTTCATGTGACTTCTTTAGCAATAGGTTGTGATAAATTATTTTCTTCTTCTACTTGACGACAAAACTTTCAAGAGAAGTTCATTTGAAGTGCTCAAGATTTTGTGTGCTCTGAAGATTATTACTGTGGCCTATAATAGGCTAAGAGACCTACACTGTATGTGCCACTGAGATCTTATCATAAAATGTCGGTCAAGGAGAACCTCGTGTCTCTCTGCTTACCTTGGAAATCCCATGTGTGTTTCTATAGATATTTTTTTGTTGAGTGACTAAGTTTTAAGGTTTGTGTTACAATGAATTTGACTGTTTACTCTGTAAGTTGGTAAGTTGGCATTCAATTCCATTGAATGTGCTAGCAGATGATTTTCATCTCTTCATTGTGTGATCTACCTATAAAATGTGCAGTAAAATGTGATGTCAAGCAATTAAATTCCAAAATGTGAAGGCTTCACATTTGTCTGAATAAACTTTTAAACAGTGATTTGATTATACTTACAAAAAATTATTATTTTCCATACCAGTGCTTTTTTGTGTTTCATAATGCAAATTCTTGAAATCATTTCATTGTTTTGTTGTTTTTTATTATAATTTCAAGTGTTAGTTATAAAATTTGCTGTTGAGCAAATTTGAACTGATAGGCTTTATAGTGGATATTTTTAATTTATTATAGGTTTTCTAAAATTATAGAAACTTCAGTTTGTGGATGCCCTCCTATCTGTAGCCAACAGCAGCTAACTAACTTATTTTTGTAACCTACATGCTTTTCACATAATTTTGTGGATTAGTACAGACTGTGATCAGAAAACTGTCATCTGCTTTAGACTATTCTTTCAGTTCATGTTGCTGGACTAGCACGACTTTGGAAATCTGGATAATCAACTGGTGCTCTCTCTACGTAGTGCCATGAAGGCTGGGACACTGCAACACACTTTTCCTCCTATCACCTGGATAAGTTCTTAAATTTGAAGGAAGACATGGTTACTAGTACTGTACACTGTAGTGTCACCCCTTTTTATGAAGACTTTTGTATCTATTGAGCATATCCTCTATATGATCAGATGATGTCAAGCAGAAAGTGTTTACATGGGTATTATTTTGAGAAGAGCCACCGACTAGTGTTGCTTCATCCTTAAATGCCAGTGCGGGTCCACTGGTCATTTTTGCATCGGCTAACGGTTTTCTTTTTTCTATTTTAAAAATTAATTTCACTGTATTATGCTTATCTGGTCAATTTGTGCTTCTCTCTTACTACCAGTTATATTTTCTCTTTAATCTAAGGACTTCACTGTGAGGTTTTATAATTCCACATAGTGAATCTAATGCAGACTGCACTTTCCTTTGTTTTATTTCCTTACCTCATTGAGGTAGCTTTCATTAGACGGTTGTCCACATTTCTAAGGCAGATTCTATGCAATGTAATTAGCACAGTATCAAAGCTCTGCGTTAGGAAATCGAATCATGCTAGTCTTCTGATAATCGTAGCTTTTCTAAACAAGAGCTAATGTGTGTAATTCTTACTCCCCTTCTAAATCTGTCAGTGAACTCCCATTTTGTACCCGAAAGCTATGGTTTTGTCATGGTATCCTTCATCTTCCCCTTATGTAGATGACTAGATCAAAGTATACTTTGAAGACTGGAAATTTTGTATACACAGTAGGTGTAGTTATTTTACCACCTAAATTTTAAGGAGCTGATTCTCTAGAATTTACAAATGACTGTGAACTGAATTGTATGTAATAAATTGAAATGCTGTATCTTAGATGGTGTTTCATGTTTTTCACTTTTCCTTTTAGTCTTTTAAAGGCCAAATTTTCCAGCTTTTCCATTATATTTCACTTGTTCTATACTTAACTGTGTACTTTTGTTTTTCTTGGCAAATGTTTTATTTCCATTTATCTTGTTTTGTAAATACATATTTTTGAAAAATGCTGTTAAGTTATGCTCATGGATATGCACTTTTCGCAAGCGGCGAAATAGCGAAATTTCCCAAAATGCTTCAAAACGCGAAATTTAGCAAAAATCGTCTGAATCCGCGAAATCGACCTTAAACCACGAAATAGCCGGCGAAAATCGGAAAAAAATTATTGCCGAAGATTACTGAATTTTGTATCAAACATTTACTTTTACTACCACTCTGGTCTCGAATAGATAAAAAAAACACTCCGTCTTTTTAAAGGTCTGGTGCAGAAATTTGTTCCTCGTAGCATTTTTAGGGTGTTTTGGATGATTTTAGGCAAATTCGCGATAAAAAGCGAAATTTTAATTTTTATCAATGAAATTTCGAAGCGTCAATCCGCTAAAAGTGCATATCCATGGATGCTGCTAGGACAAATATGGATGGTACATCACTTATGTTTAAAGTTTTGATGAAGTCATCTTGTGCATTGTGAACTTTCTGAGATCCATCACCAGAGAATCAACTGTTAAGTTTTCTCTGTCGAAGCCCCTGTGCAGGTGTTGCATTTTTGGGACACCTTAGAAATGGAGCCTCTTCTTAGTTAATAAAATAAATTTTTGAATTAATGAAGCATGTACCTATCTGTGATCAAGATTAGAGGAACTTCTTGTTTCAACAAGCTTAGTTTGTGGCACCCACCAATCATTCTTTATATTTTACTTTTTAATATCAGAAGCTACCAACTTAAGACATCAACCAAGTTGATCATCTAGGTTATTTTTAAAATCAGCATTTTTTCATGTATGTATAAATCTGTTATTATGTTGGAATTTATTGTAATTCAGTCGTTTGTACCAATATTTAAAAGTTATAAGCTTTGAAAATAAACAATGAAAAAATGAAACAAAACACAACGCCGTGTGAACTTTCCTTCGATGGATGTCCGCTTCTCATTTCTTTTTAACTTTGGATCTAGTTTTGAATATTGTGGGATCCAAGTGGCTGTACGGAGCGTCGGCCCACTCCATGGTGTGGAGAGCATGCGCGGACGAGTCCGGCTGATTCAGCAGCAGATGCGGCGCAATCAGCGTCAGCATTTGCTGCAACAGTAGAGCGATGAGCGATTGCGTGGGAGGAGATGCTCGACTGGGCGGCCTGGACTGTCCATCTGTGCAGAGACAGTCGGTAGTCGGTACCTCAGCCCAGGGAGTGAGGCCCATGGGGGTGCCGCGGAACTGCCACAGGGGAAGGCCCTGGTGTACGAGCATCATGCGGAAGTAGGTGGTGAAGTCGCTCGCCAGGAAGTGCCATTCGAAGCAGCGGTCCAGCAGCCAGATGCGCGGCTCGGGGCGCCGGGGCTCTAACCCCTTGTCCAGGTAGACAAGGCACACTTTGGCCATTCCCTACCAAAGATTTTAAAACTTCAATGAACGTCGGCCACACGTTAAACCGCAATTTTTTAGATGAACTTTCATAAACAGCTCACGAGCCTCGGTGGGGAAGGACTCACCTGGCAGGGGTCCAGCTCGAATATCTTGCACTTGACCCCAAAGTTGGGCCGTTCAGTGCAGCTTGGTCCCGGTGCTTGGCCCGCACCCGACGCGGCCGCCTGACGGCAGATCTCCACGTCCAGCAGAGTGGGGCTGTCAGCGTCGACGAGGGACTTGACGCCCGCCAGGCGCCTCAGCTCGGTGATGGCGTTGACCCGCATGTGGCCGAGTGGGATCAGCTGCCCTGTGACGGCACAGCAGCAGCGCGGGAACGTTGTGATATACCCTCCGGATGGTTCGGGTGTAAGTACAGTAGTAGTACTTACCTGCGTTCTGATAGTTCCATGTGAGGGAGAAGCCGTCCGACGAGAGGTAGAACTGGCGCAGGTCGTCTGGCAGGGCACAGCAGTGGCGCTGCTCCCAGGAGGACAACAGCAGCCGCTCGCAAGGTGTCCTCTTGTCCAGGCGGACATCCTGCACCCCTGGGGTCTGAGCTGCAGCCCAACAATTAGGGGAAGGCCTGCCGCGCTGGTCTTGGAGCGACATACCAGGGGGCTGGCTGATTAACCCCCCGCACTTCTGTAGTTATGCAGTACCGCTTTCCCTACGTGCGGGCGGGTTGCCTGCTCGCCTGGCCCGTAAGACACGCCGCCGTGGACAGGGGCGATAGGCAAGCCCACTCGCACTCGTGCGTGCGGTACAGTACAACTACAAAAGTGCGGGGGATTAATCAGCCATCTGGTATAGCTACAGCGTGGCTCTTCTAATAGACTCACTCAACAACTTGACCAATCCAAGGGTCAAATTCTCGTAAAAGGCGTCCTGACAAGTGATGTCGACCATTTTTCCCCCCGAACGAGACGGAGTACGGTTACGGTTGCCCGGGAGACGCGCAGAAGTTTCCCGCCATCGATCGGACCGCCGTCACCGGCCGCCACCGACTACACCGAGTTCAACGCGGGCGTGCCACGCGCCTCGCATGCAACGCAACAGGCCGTCGTCGGAGCGTTCCACCGCGGCGCGGGGAAGTTTCAAATGTACGACGTGAGCGGGATCAGGGAGTTGTTTGTCATACGGTCGTCCCTCTAGACACACCAGTTTGTTTTCTCCAGCGTCTCTTGAGACGCCTGCTCGGCTTTGCGACGTGACCAACTGTCTTTAGAAATCGAATCGGTCGGCAGGATGAGGCAGGGGGCGGGGGCGGGAAGAAGAAACCATCTAACATGGCAAAGTAAGAAGACAAACGCGAGCCCCCCCCCTCCATTTCCCTCCATTCCCTACACTGCTCTACGAGCCTTTTTACTCGGCTGACCATACTAATTAAAGTGGATCGAAAACCCGTCGAGACGAACGGGAGGAAAGTGGACGGAGGAAGCATAAGCTGTCATCACGGCGTCCATCTCCGTCAAGCCAGCCAGTCAATCATTCAGTGAATCGGCGAGTCTACCAGCCAGACAACTTCATGTTCACATATTCAGAGCGTTTAAGAACAATAAGCGTTTGAAAATCGGTTTGAGGGGTTTTGCGACAACCACCCCATCACTCACTATGCCGGGCCGGATTGCCCTATCTCAAAAATATGATCACTATCTGGCCAATCTAGAGTGGTGGCCAATCTAACAGGCGGAGGTGCCCCCCCTCTCCCCCCCGCCAAATCTCTCCTCCGGCCCGGCTCCCGCTCCAGGCCGGGCGCGCGGCGCCCCCCCCCCCTCCTCTCCGTCTTTCTCTCCGGCTGTGTTGAGTTCAGTTCCTCGCAGCCGGCGGTGCGGGGTGGTCGTTCCTGCCCTGCTGCAGCTCTCGCGACGTGTGCGTCGTGACTCTCGGCACAGTCTATATCGCCTTGAGGACGCGTTAACGAGAAGTAGGCGCAAGTAAAGAATTGAAACCGGGGGTGTATAGTGAGTGATCGGAGTGAGAGAGAGGAGTGCTTCTCGACGTTTGTTAAGAGTGAGCAAGAACGAGACGGAGGTGGTGGAGTTGGCGGCGGCAGCTCGTCACCCACGCCCACCCTCAAAGGATTACTTCTCCGGTCCACCTCCAGCGGCTGCCCGTCACTCACCAGGGCTGGGGCGTCACTCCCTCTGCAAGTGATAAGTAAGTCGGGAGGAGCAAACCCTTTTTTGAGGGGGCTCCCCTGGGAGTCGTGTGTCGCGGATGGAGGAGCTGTCGGTGAGCAGGATCAGCGCTGCTGCCGTCTGATTCAGAAGATCGTTCAAGGGGGTCTCTCCTATACCTAGCCCATGAGTGCAACAAGGACGGAGCTATACGGGAGGTATAGGAGAGCCCCTGAACGATCTTCTGAATCAGACGACTGGTCGCCCTCGTGTAACTGCTTCGTGATCCATTCATTCCCAACCGGGCCCTCTCGGACCGTTACGCTTTAGTCGACGCGGAGTGTGTGAACGCGGTGTGTGGTGCGCGATGCGCGATGCGCCGTTGGCATAGTGTGCTGCTGCTGCACGGCCTGCACGGCGCTGGCGGGCGAGGCGCGGACCGCCGCGCCTGCACTGCACTCTGCCCCGCACCACTTTCCCATCGATATCTCGTTCTCCTGGGCCCGGCCGACCGGCTCGGCGGTGCTTTTGTGCCCACCGCTCGTACTGCCCCCCTCCTCCCCTTCCTCTCCATTTTCTGCCCGCCCCCCCAAGAGCCGATGATGGGAACGATTAGCCAGCCAGCCTCAGCAGCAGCTGAATTGTAAATCGCCAAATCATCTCAGATTTCCCTTTCACCCCTCCCCCTCCCCACCTCTCCATGCACATCCGCGCGCCCGTCCCCGGCTCGGGGCGACGCGATTGCAGTAAGGGGAAGCC